CTGTTCAAAGAGCAGTTAATAGCACACCTTGTGTCAGATTCGAATACACATTTGCCACCCCTGTGGTTGCAAGGAAATCTTCTTTGTAGAGCAGTTGGACACTCAGGTATACTTGATTGGGCCATGTGCCATCTTCATTGACAATTTTTGCTGTGACAATGCACCTGATCAACCAAGTAGTGACAGCAACATTATCTGGTCAAACAAAGAAATTCATCATGTCAAGGGATTGGTCACAACCAAAAGAAAGGTTATCTGGTAGTTGAGAAACATAATAAAGACCATGTGCATGGTCTGAATGTTCCCATATCTCTGCAATATGTTGTAGTAAGGTTGTATCATATTGAATTCCCACATTGTTGTCTGGTGAACTGTCTTTTTCTGTAGCATCAGATGAATGATCTTGTGTGTGGTCTTCTGTAGTCATAGTGTTTTCGTGGCAAGTGCTGAGAACAATTAGTTGTGGATGAATGTTAGGGCAACACAGGCTGACTAAGTCTGCTCACCTAAGAGTGCCAAGAGTCTAAGCAGGCAACAAGGAAGTGGAGTAGACCTGATGACTAAGACCTATCTACAGTATAGGTACCTGCAGATGATCCTAAGAGACCAAGTCTGAAGAGACAGTCCCCAGGCAGAGTAGGCCTTATATTGATACCTCTGTGGTGGAACCTGCTAGAACATCTTGCTTACTCAGCCTAGTCAGGTGATCAGGTCATATGACCAAGGATGCGGTCATATGAGGTCATGCACAGCCATGCACAGCAGGTCACCTGACCATTGAATCCTTCCAGCAGGTTCCAGCACATGCCAAGGTATACCAGCTACTTCCATGTCATAAAGGCTTAGTCATGTCTCTTGACCAAGCAATGAGCTGGTGCCCTGACAATAAAGCAGTGGGGGTAAACTTGCCATTTCTTCCTGGCATTGTGTTCAACCACAGATGGGGTTTCTTTGCATTTGCCTGATGACATGGCATGAGAAAGAAGAAATGGAACCAAGGGTGGTCCATGGTCAAAGAGTGTCAAGTATTTATGGGGTGTGGAAGGTGGGAATGAAGATGACCAGCCCTGGATGGCTGCTTTGTGACAGCCAGCCTCATGTTGGACAGCCCTCTTCATCCCATCATGTGGTTGACACATGGGTACTGTCAGCCTCCCAAGGTAGTAGTTCATATTGATGCAAGCCCTTCCAGCCTTGCAAATTCATTTCAAAGATCAGAAGGAGGGTTCTTGTACATCATCTTGTCTGAGAATGGGCACAAGATTGCCAAACCAGACAGTGTTTGCAATCACAACAGCATGACATACAAGCTCTGTGGGGATCTGCACCCACAAAGATTGACAATTGCATGATCAAGTGATTGGCCCTGGCATTTGTAATTGGTGTACAAATATGCGGGCAGAAGGGGAAGTGTGAGTCTGCTTATTGTGTGCAATAGCATATTTCCATTGGCACAGGACATGTACTTGAAGCTTTGTTGAACAGGTTGGATGCACACAATGTTGGAACCTAATCTGACATGTGCAAAATCACCAGCCGGCATTTGTACCATGACTGCTGTAGCATAGCGCTGATTGCACTCATCAACTGTATATCATATCCCAGTAATGACACCTGCAGCTCCATTCACTAGAGTTTTTGATAGGGCCAAATTTTCTGTAATCATGACATGAACACCTTTGAACAGAGGCATGAAACACAGAGCATCTTCTGTTCAATTTGATGGAAGCATCCATAGCACATCTTGTACTGCACCCCTGAGAGTGTCATTCTTTATGAAATCTTGCGCAAAGTACACATGACATTGTGTATTCAAACAATGAGCATGTTGTACAGCAAGGCAAAAGTTAATTGCATCATGCATTGTTTTGGTGGTGATGATAACTGGTGCATCATTGAACAGTGGCAAATCTGGACTGTTGGTCTCACACAACATTTCCAAACATCTGGCATGGAGTACATCATAGTCTGATTTGCTGTACCAAACTTCTTCTTGTGGAACTGGGGAAGGTATGGGTGACTTTCCATCCCATGCACATCCCATTCAAATGCGGAACAACAGGCCTGCCCAAGCAATATCTTGATTTTGGCATGCATTCCATTGCAGGATGACTTCTTTCACCTGCTTCCAGTACCAGGTGCCTAGTAGCACATCTTAACCCTTGTTTGATTGGCTTGTTTGTGGCATGATCTGATGGAGTAGTTGGTGGCTGTAAAGCAGAGCTGCTCCAAATGGTTTCAGTTGCCCAAAGTCACCAGTGAATATAACATTGATACCACCAAATGGTGCATTGTCTGGTGCCTTTTTCCCAATCCGGATCTGGTCAGATATCTGGCACATAAATTATGCAGAGATCATGGAGACTTCATCAATGATCAACCATGACACCATGTGCCAGATTTCTTCCAGGTAGCCAACATTTTCCTTTGTTCTGAGCTTCTTTGGCAATCCCATTAAGGAGTGGATTGTATACCCTCCAATGACAACAGCTGATGCACCTGTTGGTGCACTGAGCAACAAGGAATGCCAGAGCTCCAATGAGGTGAATAGCATTTCAATGCTCTTGATGACATGACATTTCCCTGTTCCTGCACCACTGCTGATGTACAGAAACAGCTGCTGTGACCAAGTGCCAGACAGATGATTGGCAATGATCCTCATGGCTCTCCTCTGTTTGTTGTTTCCCAATAAATTCTGTTTTTCTTCAACCAAGTGCAGGATATCATATATGTTGACGTGGGTGGATTGTCAAGTGTGATGATACGGATCACTTGGTGCAGTTACATGTCTGATGTCATATGTTGTGTTGATAGTAGAATGTTGATACACAAAGGTTGTCATGTGAGATACACAATTCTTCTTCCATGCAACTAGATCATCTGCAAACCTTTTCAGAATAATGTCATCTTGCACCATGTGGGGATGAGTGTTGGCACAATTGCACAAGGTAATCACCAGTTTCAGTGTGAAACTCAGATGCTGGATTAGTTGTGCTGTCCACTCTCATTCGACAGTTTGCATTGATCTTCTGTTCACCCCTGTGCAAGTTCTTCCAACAGGTCATAGAATGAACATGCCAGTTGTTATGAATAACAGTATCTTGAACATGCTGCATGAACACCATGTGCTTGATGCCATGAAGAGAGGTTATAACTGGACCTTGACTCATATGAGGATCCACCACATCTTTGCTCAATGCAGGAGGCAGTAGAGGGCCATCAACCTCAGTAACAATGGTACTTTGCCCAGGAAGCTTGCTGTGAATCAATATCTCCAGCCAATCCAGCATGGACTGCCTGAACACAGGATCATCCAAACCATGCTGGCACAAAGTTGCTGGGTTTGGATTTCCCTCTATCCAAACAAGCATATGGCAGTGAAGTGTTCCCCAACCCTGCGCTTCTATCATGCAATACCAGCCAGTGCATGTGCCGAAAAGTCCGGGTCCCCAGTTCAGGCACAAGATAACATCTCAGAAACAAACCATGGTTTGATGGAAAATGCAAGCAGCAACAGCAGGATGTTCCACAACCTTCATTGCTTGGAGGAAGCAAGTTTCCCTCAAAGTGCCTGCACAGATGTTGTTCACAAGTGCAGGGTCACCCAGCGCCAATTGAAAGACATAGTTATTGATGTCATTTGGGGTGATTGTAATGTAAAATGCAGGAGAACCCAGCTCATACACAAGAGCTCGTATTTCACTTCTTCTGCCCTTCTTATAAGTGTTGCTGCCAGGTACACTTGTCTGCAACATTTGAACCTGGTGCAGGATTTGTAAAGCATGAGTTTCCATAGCCAACTTTGGTTTTGACCTCGGATTTGACTGTAGGCAATGAGTGAGGGTTCGGAGTACATGAGCATCCATGTATCTCAAATCACTTAAAATATCTTCATGGTGTTGGCTGGAAATTCAAAAATGAACAAGGCAAATCGCTTCTCTGTGTTGTAGAATGTTGTGAAACACAAACATAAACACAGGATCATGTTTGAATTGACCATGTGCCAGGCGCAACAAATGGCTCAGCTGAGCTGACATTGAAACCAGTTTCTGGCACTGAGGATCATTGAAACCTCTGAGCCCAAAGGGATCCAAGTGAGGGAACATCCATCTCAACGTGTATTCATTCTTCAAATCATGCACTGGTTGATTGCTCCTTCTAGACATCAGGAAACTACCTCCATTGTCCAAACAATGCACCAGTGCTTCAGCCTTCATCATGTTGTATGCTGAGCTGGATCTGTCCATTATGCAGAAGCCAGATGATTTGACAAGAAAATCCATGGCACCAATAGTAGTGCCATCAAAAACATTCCATCTGGACATGTCCGACTCTGATGCTACTTGTGCATCATTGTGCTGCACATGTTTGATATGAAACCCAGGAAATGTAACGTCATCCTGATCTTCAGGAAGAGAGCCAAATAGTGCGCAAAAGTGTTCATGAGAGAAAATGGCATGAACCGGAAAGTCAGGAGTGATACAGGTGTATGCCTTGTTGTTCTGCAGGAGGAAACAGATGATTGTGCACACGATGGACCCATTTGCTTTCAAAGGTCCCAGTGTCCGGATGACATTGGGAGTGGGCACTTGTTGCCCCACAAAGATGACAACAAAACTATTGTGAACTGCATCCAGAGAAGGAGGCAACATATTGTCCAGAGTTGCAATGTCTTGTGGGAGAACAATGGTGTTTCCTCAAGAGTAACGCTGCACACCACTGACCCCTGAATGGTACAGCTGGCTGTCTGGGTTATCTGTATAGTGAAAACAAATTTTGGATGCTGTACATCAACAAACTAGGTGCCAGTCAACAAAAGTTGCATGGGAGAATGTGTCTTGAACATTGATGGGAACATGTTCATATGCATAATAAAAACCATCACAGAGTGCAAGTGACAGCATACTGCCCTGAGCCAGGCAAGAGGCACATGTTGGACACAGAAGGATATCACTGCAAAATTTGGCCAGGTAGGACAAAGCAGATGGGTCAAGGATTGCTTTGTGGTAGTGATAGAAATTATAACCAGATGGGCGGAGATGTGCAGGAAGGCAAGGATTGCACAATATGTTGAAATACACTGATTCAATGTGCACGGAGCACAATGTTTTCTTTTTGAATCCTTCACCACAACAACCACATGTGTGTCTCAGCAAAGCTTCAGGGGACATGGCATCTTGATATTTCACAAATGATTTTCTCCACAAGAGATCTGTCATAAGCAGGCAGAAAGTCTGCTGTTCAATTGTCCGATGGGTCTAGTGAGGCAAAGTGCCTTCTTCAATGTGATTGATGCATGGCATCATCTTTGTTCTGAATGCCTTGACCCAACACAGTGAACACAACCTTGTGGCCAACACCATCATATGGACATGCTGATCTTAATGAGAATCACCAGTATAACATGGAGGGAACATTGCATGCATGGTGATGTATATGCAATTTCACCTTTTCTTTTGTGACTTGTGGTAGTGTGGGTGCTTTCAAGGTGACACAGATCTGGCACAATTGTTCAAGAGAAAAAAAATCAAATGACTGCAACATGTCATCCACGGATGCAACAGCTTGAATGTCTGATATGTCAATAACTGGCAGTTGGGAAACCAATACAGACTTGAACATATAAGTCCTGTTCAGCTCATGGAAGCTAACAGACTCTTGCGCAAAATCTAGAGTATTGTTAACCACATATAAAAAACAAGCCATGGGACATACACCTGGGTATACCTGTTTGTTTTTATGAACTAGCTCCATTCAGCCACTGACAGCAAGTGAACAGGTGCAAGGAGAACTTGTCAGCCCAGTGCAGACAGCATTCTGCCATCCATGAACAATACATTTGCATTTCCAAGACAGACATAGGATCAGCCTCCCTTGCATGCAGCCTGGAAAGCCATCCACCCAGTGCAGAATGGGGAGGATGACATGCTTGAGATAAGCCATCCATGAGAAATCCAGTCACATTTCCAAGATGGGCAAAGAATCAGCCTCCCAAGCATGCAGCCTGTGAAGCCATCCACCCAGTGCAGGATGGGGAGGATGACATACTTGTGAAAAGCCATCCATGAATGAACCAGTCACATTTCCAACACAGGCAAAGGATCAGTCTCCCAATGTGTGCAGTCTGCAAGGCTCACCACCCAGCGCAAGATAGGTACAATAGATTCTTACATGAAACAAATGAAACACAGCAGCAGTACTGAAGCAGATCAAACACACAAGGTCATGAAGCATCATTGTTAGCATTAAATAGTGAACTTCATGGGCACCCTGATGTCAGTATGTGATGTTCATGGCAACTCCACGAGATGACCAAGAAATGATGACCAATGGATGCACATGACCGTGTCCATAAAAGGAAACAAAATGCAGACGAATTTTCCCTACAAAGACCTGAGCCACATGTGTGGCCCAGGGATTTTAGACCCTGAGAAGGCTTTGGAAGGTCAACAACATCAACTTTGATAACAGGGTCTTGCACGCTTCTTTAGTCTTCTTCCTTCATGTCAATACGACGACAACTGGGACAACGGTCATTCATATTTATTTCTTCAATGTCGGTTGTCAAGACAGGAATTGGCTAGAGATACCTGCCGCACTTGAGATAGCCCAACGAACAGCACGTCATCTCGCTGCATGAAACTTTAATTGTCCATTCCGGGGGCAATCCTGACCTGATCGCTGCTCGCCGTCTCAGCCTCAAATGTGACATCTCCCTACTTGTTGACCGCAACATTCCTGCCTCACTATGCACTCGCACTGTCACAAGGGAAATCCTTCGGCAGACTGCGCATCTACCCTCTAGCTGGCGTCTTCTCAAGGCTAGCGCTCTCTTCCACTCCCCCTCCTTCCGACTCGACGCCGTGTGCTCGTTGCTCACCGCACGCGTTCCTCAGCACCAGCGACGTCGAGTTCGTTCTAATACCTTCATTGCGCTACACTGTCAGCTCGCCAGCAAGTCATTCTTTACAGACGCCTCTTGGGGTGTCATACACTCTTTCAACCAACCTCAGTCTCAGCCTTCAACTCCTAATCATACGACAACTCCCAGCGCTCTAATTTCTACACTACCACACGAACACTATCAACGAACGAAACGTGGCTAGAAACAATGTCAAGCATCGCCATACCGCTCGCCTCGCAGTTGCCGTTGATCGCCCGCCCGGGCACGCCCTATTCGTTCACTTTCGCCCAAGGCTCGTTCGGCGGAGACGCAAACGGTATCTCATATGTCGCTGCAAACCTCCCAGGATGGGCAACGTTCGACGGGTCCACGCTCACAATATCCGGAACACCTTCGTCCTCCGATGTAGCAGCAACAAGCGTGAGGTTGAGTGCCACATCTAACGGACAGACTTCGGAGGATAGCTTCACCTTACTCGTCAGCGATGCACCAGCCCCGAGCGTCGGTACAGCACTGAGCGCTCAGTTCTCCGTCTCGAGCATTCAGAATTCGCGCTCAATTTCCTCCGCATATGCGCTCTCGTCCTCCTTCCCTTTGCCAGGCGTTCGCGTTCCGCCCTCCTGGTCTTTTTCCATCGGCTTGGAGCCAACCTCCTTCACGTCTCCTACTGGATCATCCCTGTTCTACTCCGCGCTCCAGACTTCTGGTGCCCCATTGCCCAACTGGCTCCAGTTTTATAACACATCATTCGTGTTTGACGGACTGACGCCGGGGACGGATGGGCTCACTTACCCTTACGAGTTGGACGTAGACCTCATCGCGAGTGATGTCTGGGGCTTCAGCGCCATCAGGGAGACATTCAGGATCGTGCTATCATCTTGGGACCTGGAGATGCCGCAATACGGAGGTGTGAACCTTACCATGGGTGAGAAAGCAAGCGTGCCTCTGCAGCAGGCGCTTGGGCAAGTCATGCTACTGAATGGCGTGCCCATCGGAGAAGGCAACATCTCCTCCATCGCGCTGCTCGACCAGGCTGCTGGTGGCGCTGTTCCATCATGGATGTCTATCTCCGGTTCATCGGGAACCATCTCAGGCACTCCCCCCACCGGTTCCTCCCCCTCGACAATTCAGATCCCACTCAACATCACTTCAACACTCCCTACATCGTCTCTCCTCACAAACCTCACGATTTCTCTTTTCCCCTCCTATTTCTCCGACGCTGCTTCCCTTCCCGCCATCGTGGGTACCGAAGACAGTCCTCTATCCTATCCGCTCGGCGCTTGGCTCTCTAATGCCTCCGTCCCTGATGTGCAGTTGAGCGCGGCATTCAGCCCTGCATCTATGTCTAACTGGCTCTCGCTCTCCGCCTCGGGCATCCCGACTCTCTCCGGCACCCCTCCACGCAACCTGGACTATGCTGAGGGGAACATCACACTTACCGCGCTGTCTCCGTTCTCGAACACGACCTCGCACACGACGGTCTCCCTCCTCATCGCTCCAGCTTCGACGAACGGTGGTCTCTCTACAGGGTCCGACATGTCTGGCGGGATCTCCACAGGTGCAAGGATAGCTCTCATCGTGCTCGGTGTCATCGCCAGCGTGCTCCTCCTTTTCCTCTGCTTCTTTTGCTTCCTCCGCCGCACCCAACAAGGGCAACGCGTACGCAAGTCCCTCATCGGCAAGGCCTATGTTATCGATACCTCTAGTCATGGGTCCCCCAACACGGAGGAGGACGAAGAGAAATCAGTCGGGTTCCTCAGTCCCAAGGTAGGGGTGGACGAGGTAGGCACCCTCTCGGATGAGCTCCCCACCCAGCCGTACGTTCCCCACCCCAAGCAACTGCCTCCACCCAGCCCGATGCCAAGGTCTGGCTCTAACCGCTCCATATCCCCGCCTCCGTCCGCGATCACCGCTGAAGGACCGCAGAGCAACCGCAAGGAAGCCGGGGCGTGGTGGGCTCGCTTAGGGTCAGGCACCTTTTCCTCTCGTACCTCGTCCATCAAGAAATGGCAAATCTCCAAGCCAATCGCACGCATCTCAAGGCACATATCTGGCAGTGTAACACCTCATCCCGGTATGGGTGTACCTGCGGGTAGGGGGATCCTTATTCGTGTACCGGACGCACCCCCTCGCGCCCTCATCGCGGGCGAAGAACAGCAGAGTGTGCGCTTCGTACCCCAGCAGCGGCCAGATGGCTTGCCCGGTGACGATAGTTGGACACCTCCGCCATCGCTGGCCGTTCCTGGCTCAGGAAGTATCGCCTATGGCTATGAAGGGTATGGGTATCCCAGTCCCCCATCTCAACAGCCGACCATGGTAGATGGGACTGCGCGCCCGGTTGCAACAAACAACCCCTTCATGCACGCACGCGATAGCAACCCCTTCCGACGCGAATCCTTTTCTGGGTTCGCTCCGACGGTCGCTACTACCGTCTCTGGGTCTGGGTCGGGTAGTGCAGCCTCGGGCGGGTTTTCATCTGAGGGGTTCAGCAGCGAGAGCTACGCGGGGATAGGGCAGAGCGGGAGCGTGGAGAGCGAACAGCCTGTTAGAAGGAAGGACTTCGCACCTCCCACTAATGAGAGGGCTATAGGACGGGTAGAGGAGGGCGAGGAAGAGGAAGACACCGAGATAGAAGGTGAAGAGGAGGCTGTCATCAGCAAAGCGGCGATCGTCAGTGGGGGAACACCCAAGCGACCCAGGCTGGTCGACTTCACGAGTGAAAGGAGGAGCGACGAAGTGCACAACCTGAACCGGTACGTCGCACTCTCCCCTTCTCTTTCCTAGAGCATCGGCTGACGGGTGATACAAAAGGCTTGATTCACTCAAGGCTGTTGCGCTACTTTCACCCGACCTTGGCCACGAAGGGTTCCACTATGTCAACTCTGCGTCCATCCCTGCTGGCCCAGCTGGGTCGACACCTATGGTAGGATCGGCAATCATCTTTGATGGTAGTGCCAGCAATCGCCCATAGCCTGGTCGTGCCGTGTCTGTTTGACTCTCCTTCGCGGCTCTGAGAATCGAGCAGACATTCTGACTTGCCCATTTTCGTTTATCACTTTCTTCTGTTCTGCTGGCACCAGGCTAGTCTCACATATCATATTCCCATCCACCGATGTAACGCCCACCACAAAACTCCACACTATTAATGTATTTATAGTTCTTCCTCCGTCTTAGTTGTACACCTGACTCATCTTCTAACCTGTCCCTGCCCGCTACCACCATGCTGTACTGACTGACCCTTGGTACAGGCAAACTCGCGCCAAAATCCTTAGTTGTAATGACAATTCACACGCATTCATCACCTTGATTCCATGGGCCTTCCCCAGTTTGGCTTCCCAGGGAAACTGTGACAGGTCCACCTTTCGTCGGAAACCTGTATGGATGACAAAACCCACAAGAAATGACATTGAAACGGTGTTGACCACCTTTAAGCGCCTGTCTGCCTCGCCATCTTGTACACCAGTTATTGGACCACTGCCTATTCGTCCTCGCCATTCCCGATCTACTAACAATCCCTCGACATCCGGGATCACTGTGAGAAAAGCCGAAGCAAGGCATGGGCGGTCGTATAGTGCAGGTGAAAAGACGGTAGGGGATACATTGTAGAGCTGAGATGAACTAGCTGAGGGGGGGAAATCATGATTTCCAGATGAGGATGGCGAGCGAGCGTATGTAGAAGTAGATAAAGTGCTTTGTCTCTGCCATGCATGTTAGTGATTCTGCGCCGAAAGGATATCTTGAACGCAAGAAGGGAGGCGCACCATGCGTAACGTAGCTCCCATAGTTCTTCCCAACAACAACATGCCACGTCGGCTGGTACCGTCTGTCAAACTCGCGCTTGATGTATGCGGCAACGTCCTTTTCGATGTTGAACTTTTCGAGTGCCTTGCTCGCAATCTCGATCGCCTCGGCTTGCATCTCCTCGCTCATGTCGACGTTTTTGATCGTCGCTTTGGGTTCGGAGGTAGGGGAGGTCGCCGCTGCTCCCGGTGCGTCCTCGGAGAGGTGGGTGGAAGAGTCTTTTTCGGACATCTGGGGTGGTGGGACGAAAATAGAGGGCAGGAGGGGGCAACGGCAAGGGCAAGAAAGCGAGTTGGGGGAGACGAACGCGGGAGACCCGGAGGGCGGGAGAGGAAAGAAGCGGGGAGAAGGGATCAGCAAGTGGCGTCACATCCAACCACGCGAAGAGAACGCACCACGCGATCTGGATCTTGGTAGGGTTGGTGGTCAGAGAGAAGGGAGATGTCGTACGCGTAGTCCCGTAGGAGACGGGGAAGTGTTGTTGGTGGTGGGGGGCCGGAGGATGCGGTGGTGGTGGTGAGAGAGGGAGAAGAGGGGGAGCCTGGATGGGAAGCCGTGGCTGGAATATGAGTTGTATTTCCGTCCGAGTAAGAATAGACGCACGTCAGCTATATGCCGACCGCGATAAACAGTTGGGAGAGAAAGAGGAGCAGAAGGCGCTCAACACTGGTGTTTATACACAACGGCCAAGGGGTGCCACACAACGCTGGGGGATGTCAGGGTGCCGTGTGGTTCGGTGGGAGAAGGGTCGCAGGAAAAGGGGGGATAAATTCAAAGGAAATACGGCTAGTTGGCTGGGTGGGGAATATGTATGTAACGGTTGAATGGGGAATGCCGCAACGAAGAGTTATTTATCGTTGTTATTAACAATGGAAAATATATGACGAACATCACCACACACAACTTATTACCTGTTTGGGATTTCAATATTGGGGCGGCTCTGGCACCTTCCAGGCACACCCAGTTCGGCCACGCCGCACACGCAATTCCAAGCTTCTCTTCGCTCCCTTTGGGGCAATCAACATGATGATTGTCACGTGCCCTCACCCTTCGTGCACAGTCACTCGCTAGTTCGTCGGGGAAAAGAGCAAATAAAGCAGCCTTGAGAATTTGTCACCCCGCGTGATACACACACGCGTTGGCAATGCACGTTCCTCCTGAGCCAGGGTGACTCTTAATGTCTCGTTTTCGACCGCCAAGGGAGCAGAGGGCGCACGGCGAGCCCTAACAAGGGGGCGGCGGCCGCTCAGAGCCGTTTGAGACATGGCCGTTCGGCACTTCGGACTGCATTGGGAGAGCATATGCATGATAATTACGTGGGCTTTTTGGCTACTGCGGATCCGGACCCGATATGATATGCGGGCGCTGGCTGCGAGAGTCGAGTTTTGTTGGGCATCTTGTGACTCGTAGAACGCGTTTTACAAAATGATGACCGATAAAACATGATCGTAGTGCAATACTTATATAGCCAATGCACACCGGAGTGGAATTCGACCGTCCTGCTTTGGTGTAGAGATCCCGAGCCTGGCCGATGGGCAGCACATGCACCTCATCTCAGCGAACGCCATGTACTCGCAATGGGCTCCCGGAGCGCATGGGCTCGGAGTGGCTCCTCGTGCGACTAGGACGGCGGCATGTGCTCTTGCGCTCAGAGACGGAGAAAGAAGAGAGGTGCCATAGGGCTGCGGTTTCGAGAATAGGGAAGGTGGGGAGTTCATTGTTTAGGCGAGTAATTCGAAAGAAGCAAACTGCTTACGCGTGGGTTCTAAATGTGCTCTTTCAAGTGGAGACATTGACAAGAAGGGCATTCTCTGTCGCGTGTGCTTGAATACGATGTTGATGAGGTCCAATCTTTCGCTGATAAGAATCGCAAGCCGCAAGATGAAATCAACTCGTTGGTTCACGCAGCCCAACGAGAAGTAAGTCATAAGACTCTGGTTGCTTCTCATCCGTATAAGTAGGAGAGTGCACCTTGTTACACAGATGGTCAAGTCCAGAGAAGAACAACAGGCCCGCGGTGTTCCGTGACTTGTTACAACGCTTCCAAAAGTGCCACCGGATTATGTAATCCCATGCAGTTGGGACGCGCTTAATGGTCACATCGCGTCCCACACAAATATACCCAACAACCTCGATTCTCTTAGAGGGAGGCGGCAGCCCGAATCTAACCATTTAAAGGAGAACAAAATATGTCATTCGGTCTGCACGTCCTTTCCAAAGGGCGTGTGACCGAGCGACATGCCGAGCTGCAAACCGTGCGCGACTATTTCGAGCGCCTACCAGCTGGCAGCGCTTACGGCGACAAACCGGACGACTATCTATTTCTATACCAGTCTCTTTTTGCTTGCATAAGGCAAGATGCACAGGTGTGGGAGAAAAAACCCACTCCTGTAGCTGAGAGGAGGCTTGAAGACGCTGGTGGTGTGCTCAGGTGCGTATATGCTCCCTTGTTGCATGATCGACACTAACCCCGGTGTGGCAGGCTAGTGGTGGAGAAAACAATCCACCACGTAGACCGCAAAACGTTTAATGCACTACGGAATCACATACTTCAATCCTCTGTGTACCGGAAAGCGCTCGTCCCCCCGCTAGCGCTTAACTATGCCAAGATGCTCGACATGGCGCTTGCGTACGGCCCTCACCTCGACCATCTCACACCGAGCGACTGGGTCTCTGCAGTTTTCAGGTGCTTTGATGTGCTCCTTGGGAGACGGCTTGGGAATGAGACGCCGTTGGATGAGGACTTTGGGGAGCCAGACGAGGAAGCGAGTGATATGGAACCGTCTGGGATGGATACGATTACCAGTCCCAGCACTTCCGGTATCACGTCTAGGAAAAGACCATATAAGGAAGATACTTCCTCCTCCCCGGTCGTCACCCGCTCGCGCCGTACTCACCGGCTCATCCCCATGACGCTCGTACAACGGGAATACGCATCCGTCCTCAAATGTCTATTCAGCACCTCTCGCCTACACCTGCTAGACAAGGCGATCCTCAAAGAACATCGCGATCCAGAGCGCGAAGAAGAAGGATACGATACTATGAAGCGACTACAGCGGGCCGTGTTGCGCGCCTTCGTGACTTTCTTTGAGATCTTCCCCGGGGAGACTTCCGGTACCGAAGACGTCTTATGCGCGATGAACAAGGCGCTCGTTGATCTCGAGATGAACGCGATGGAACTGGTGATCAAGTTCGGAATCGATATCCTGCTTTTGCTGATGGATATTTGGGGGATCAAAAATCCGTCGGCGAAGGAACAGCTCATCATCACCGCCCGCCTATTGTTACCATTCGTTTCACATCCGTCTGTCAACAGCCTCATCTCTTATGATCTTGTATCAAGGCTGCGGCGGCGACTAGAAGAGGAAGCGGATCCCAGGGGCGGCCTTGAACCCCTCACCCTTGATAGTCTGCGATTGCAGCTCTCCGACCCCAAAGACTCTGTCAGGGAAGAAGCTCCCTTCTGCAAAACCGCGTTTCGGAACGGTCATGGCCTCACAAAGGAGCAAGTTGTTACTTGGTCTGCTATGGAAGTGCATGCTGATTGCTTACGCAAATTGCATGAATATTCCGAGGTGTCCTTTGCCGGAAAGGATGGAGAGCGCGAGAGCAAGCGCCAGCGAAGAGAGCATCCTGTCAAGATGTTCCTGTCTGGGTTCGACTCCGCCCAAGAATCGGAACACGCCCGCGTATTCCGAATACAACTGTTCTTGTTTTTCATCGAACAGGCATGGATCTCGTTGCACGAAGAACTCCAAATTCAAATCCACGCGCAAATGATGCAACTTGTTTCAGATCCCCAGGCACTAGTCCGGGCATGGGCGACTATATGCCTTGCAGCTATTGCTCTCCAGCCTGTCACAGGAGAAGCTCAGCTCGATTGGTCGACCACGTGGTCCCTTGCCATCCGTCGAATATCCACTACCACTACTTGTCGCTCTGCCTCTCATCTTCTATACGCCATCCTCAAATCATCCTTACTCGACCAGCAGCGCATATTAACCGAAATCGGCGACTTTAGTAAAGAACTTGCTGTTCAAGGCCCGACGTTTCCATATGACTCTGTCTGCGCTTTCCTCTGTGAATGCCTGCGGATTGCCAGGCAAGATGCCACTCTGTATCGGTTGCAGATTGAGGACAAGATTTTGGCCTGGCTCGAGAAGACATGGAGAATGGTGGAGGGTTCGGCGAATGGATTCACGCATGCCAAACTCGAGGGGCAGACTGTCGCTGATGCGTTAGCCCTCTTTGCGGCTATCTGTCAACTGCCAAAAGCGGTGCCCCTCAATGTGCGAATATTACCGCCAGATTGTCGGACAACGGAGAGGCTTCTCGAGGAGCGAAAATATAGCGCGGAACGCGATTTTTTGCTTCACACAACATTACCAATACCAGGAGGGACCTTGGACGAGGAGAGTTCGACACAAGACGTGTCTAGGCAACCCCACGCTGATGCAGGCTCCCAAGATCCAAGCGATTCGCCCGACGACTTAGTCTACGCCAACATGCGCCAACGCAGCTGTTCAACGTTCCTTCAAAATTCGCTCCATCATCTGCTAGAAGAATGGTCTGCGCTCAAAGACCCTGTGTTGACGGCCACAGGAAAGCAGCTGCGCCGCATGGCCGATATGGTGACACTTTCCTTAGCTTGGGAAGCACTGCTCACCCTCAATGGAGTCCGATTCACTCGAAATGTCATTCAGTCCGCAGCATCAGTGCTGGATGTATTGGCTTCCGTCATTATAGCACGCGCTGAAGGCAAATCATTGAGAGGGCAGAATCACGCTCTCCTTTTTCTGGGCTTAGAACCACTTGCTGGCACCGAATCGTACTCAACCAACTTGAAAAAGGACGTTTTCTTACGACCCGGATCGAAATCCGGAATCCGTCGAGATGTTTTGAGAGGCATCACTCGTCAATGCGGCAATCAGCAAGAAAAGCAAACGAAGGAGCGAATGCGTCTACAAGGGACTATCTGGCGTATGGCCGATGTGAGTCAATGCACACATTGCTTTTCCATCTGGCCTTCACGAACGAGCTATTCCAGTTACAGGACGCTTCCGGAAGCTTGCTCAAGGCGTTTCGGGCCTATCTTTCCCAGGAAGTGGATAGCACTATCAACAGAACGGGTCCAAGTTTGGACGATGGGTGGGCAATTGGCCAACATCTAGCTCGCCAACAAGCGCAAGCGAATGCTGCGACAGCCTCGCACACTTTGGCACAAGATGTATGTGCGGAGATAGGCCTTACGTTCCATCTTCAACTCCCTGCATTCCGCCTGCACTTGGCGTGCGCTGATCTGGACAAAACAATACTCGGCCTTGTCGTTTCAGACATCGGGAATGAATCCTTCCTTCTCGCTCCCCATATATTCCGAAGAATCCAATGCAAAGAACTACACATTTCGGTCGAAGATGCGAGCACTATCCTTAATGCCCTTCATGAAGCGAGTTTTCGATATTCCTGTGTGCGCACCGAATTGTTTTGGTTGTGTGTCACAGAATATTTGCTTTGTGGCCTGAGCCTATGGGTGACGCAGACAGGACCCGACGTCGACACATTCTTTGAGTTGGCTTGCACATCCGTTCTAGCCTGTGGGAAATACAACTTCCGTGTGCTCCCCCATCCTGTGATGCAATGGCTGCACAGATACATCCATTCAGATGTCATGGAAACCAAGTGGCCCCTGGAGAACGTATCTGCTCGATCTGCCCTGGAAGATTTCGCCACCCATGGGGATTATTGCCTTCGATTTGGTCTCGGCCCTTTCCTGAGTAGCTTGTTCGAGCTACTTGGACACGATGATCAGCCATTGGATTATTACAATGCTATATTTGACAAATTACCTGCGCATACAACGCGGTAAGTGACCTTGTCAACCATGTGGAGCCTCACTGAAGCTTCATTGATGGCTAGGTATGAAGAAATGCTGTCGAGGTCGGTCATTTTGGGCAACATGATGCTTCCCAGCTCCGAAGTCCGGAAAGGGCCGTACTGGGCATTGATATCCACCTGCCTGCAATTTGAGCAATTCACGGAGCATGTACAGAGCATTTTTGTTCTCGTGTCTAGGGTCCTCGGTATGACGTCTCTCACTGATCTATTCCGCCCGTATGCTGGACAATTCGCATACACCGCCTCTAAGATGAGTCATCAAGGGGATAATAACGACATATACGATCTCACCAAGTTATCAAAGTTGTTCGGCTACTCGGATCGACTTGCTCTAGCGTCTGATTGTTTCCTGCTGATGGGCCCGGTGTTTCTTGCCGTAGCAAATGAATCCGATCCACCTGGCGGATACTGTTTTCGTGCGCTGTGCACCTCAGCAAAGATGGAACCGAAAGCAGCAATGAAGGAATGCCTTTCGAAGACTATGGGTTTGAGAATCGCCTTCTTAATGAATCACAACATCACACTGGACGATATCTCCGCCGTTCCCAGTTCAGAGGACATCAATCTGCTGAATGCGGGTCTCTTCGAGTATGCACGGCACTGCGGCCTCAGCCAAGCGGAGACTGCTCGATCGATTTCAGCAGACACAGTGGATATTATTCTCACCATTGTCAGTCTGTTGGTGGACACCGATTTCGACAGTGCTGAGGCGCCGTTCTATCAGCTGCTGAACAACATTGCAGACCTCGCTTCTGGTTTTGACGGGAGTCGAGGTCCTTCTATGGATTCATCAAGTGCGCGCTCTGCATTCCGGGCGTTCGTCATCGATATCAATCAGGACTACGCCATGCATCGACCAATCCTGCCTGCTGTCAGCTCCCTCACCATCTTAAGGTGCCTTCTTTGGCTGAATGCCCAATATGGGGACGTGTTCTCGGCAGCAACTGCCTACCATGTTGTGACAGAGCTGTTCACTTTGGCAACTCGCGCCTCACTGGTCAACGAGCAAGTACGCATTTTACGCGCCATAATGGTGTATGTCTCGCTCTGCACGTCATGCTTTGCGCATCAGTCCGTTCTACGAGCCTTGCTGAGGGGCGCAAGTGCCTTAATCGACCAGCTTGAAATTGGTCGAACGTCCCGCAATTTTCTGAACTGGGGTCTGCGAATCTTGCTTCATGTAAGTCAACCTGAGGAAATACTACCAGAAATTCTATTGCGCGTGGGTCACACCCTAGAACATTCCGAGCTTCAAAACGAACCTTTCGCTAAGAAATTCTTTCACGAGCTCGAGTCATGGATTGTGGCATGGATGTCAGATCTGTATACAAAAAAGGAATTCCGAGACGCAGTGGTGCTCGCAGTGGTGCTGTGGCCGGCCCCTCGAGACGGGATCTTCTCGTTCTGTGACGTTTCGATCCTCAGTGTCCATGATGTGTTGTTCGAAAAACCGAACGTAGACGACAAATTTCCACTCGTCGACTATGTTTCCTCCGCGGCGGAGCCCAGCGATCCAAGTTGTCCGACTCTATCGGCGGCAGGGTTCTGGCAACTGAAAGCATCTTTGCACAACGTGAAGAAACCTGGGATCGAACATTGCCATGGACTGAGTGACCTCTTGCACTCATATGCCTGCCGACTGGAAGCCGTAGAGATGGAAACAAGGCCGGCTCCTATGGAGCTATCCAGACATTTGCGGGAGGTCGCATCACAACGCAGAAGGCTCGGCGAAATTCCATCCAGCGTTTACCTAGTCAGGCGCCTTTGGGAGCTTCTAATGGATACACATCCTGTGAGGAGAGCGACCGCCTATACAACGCTACGGAGGATAATTCCAATGCTTCCAAACGCCGTCAAGACACTATATCGTGGAGCACAAGAGGAAATGGCCCTCATCGAGGCCTATCCGCTGAAGTCATACGTACCATCTCCACGAATGATCGAGGAATTATTAGACCCCGCATGTATCAGTTTGGCAGCTAGCTTCTCGGACTGGATATCGTTTCTTGCCGTGTTTCTGGCAGCTCTCCATGCGCCCGTCGATGCCATATGGGCTCAGGCTATCCCCATTTTGGAGATGTATCCGTCCTTCGCGGAACGAATTCTAGCACCTCTGATTCACGCAATATTACGGCATGAAGCGCTCATCGAGCCCATAGAGCGAAGGACAATCCGCGAAACACTTTCTGCCTACGTCAGAAGTGTGCTCGAGCAACGAACCACGGCGACACAGTGCACGAGCGCCATTATTGATTCTATCGTTTATCTACGGAATTTCGAGATAGATGAAAAGATCGATCCTCTATCTCACGATAAATGGCTTGATGTTGACTACCATCAGTTGTCCCAACGTTCCTCGGCCGTTGGGGCGTACTCGACAGCCTTGATGCTACATGAATTATCGGTTGACCATACCGAAAGTCACGAGCAGAGCTTCGAGGAAGAGGCCATCTTATATGCTGTCTACAGCCATATAGAAGAACCTGACGGCTTTTACGCTATCAAGGCCCAGAACGCACGGGATTCGGTCATACGAAGTGTTGAACATGAAGGAAGATGGGATCTTGCCCTCGGTTACCACGGCTCTGCGAGTCAAAGTCGAACATCAAAACTGAAACTTGGGTCCGACGACGCGACTCTTGGAATTGTGAGATCTCTCCAGTCTCTCGGCTTCGATGCTTTAGCATTGTCGTTTTTGGGATCTTCCGAAGACCAAGGTGCCCCCCCAGATTTGGTTTACGATCTCGCCTGGCGAACAGCACAGTGGGATCTGCCCAATATCACGTCCCCGTGTTCCGTAGCTAGCGCGTCTCTCTATCAGGCACTCCGAGCCGTGCATAGAGAACGGCGATCGGACCATGTGGAAACTATTATCAATCATGCATTCGTTCAAGCGGTCGAACAGCTGAAGTTAATTCCCGATGATGATATGGTATCTCTCACGAAAACATGTACGGCACTCATATGCCTGCGTGAAGTGTATCGTTGGCAACAGCCTACGATCCTGAGCTCCCTCAAATCCGAAGCGGTTGGAAGCAGTGAGTGGGAAGAGTTCCTTCGGATACCTGAAAATATGGAGTGAGTCGGCAGTCCTCCCATGATGGCTTGTCTTACCGTTTATGTAGATTCTCTGTCACTGAACGCTTGATCGCGACACGGGTTTCCCTTCTACGAGCAATTGACTCTGAAAACAATACGGATCAGATTGGAGATGTTCCGTCTGATTTCTCTCGCAGACTGCACAACATTGAGAGAGATTGTTTGCTCAACTTGGCGAAAGCAGCTCGCGCTGTAGGAAATGTCCAGGTTGCATTAAATTCTGTCACTCAGGCTCAAAACCTCGATTCTTCATGCTTATCCCTGTCAGCATCCAAGGAGTTTGCTTACGTTTTGTGGGATCAGGGTGAGAAAAAGTCCGCAATCGACGCCATGTCGCGCCTGCTTCACGCCCAATTGAGGCAGCAAAAGGATAACGTGCGCTCTTCGGGTCCAGACTTAGCCACCATCGCATCTCTGCAAGCTCACTTGGTAGGTGTTGTTTCTCCGGCCCCACTCTTAGCTAACTTCCCGATTTTGCTTAGGGCTGGTGGACGGCCGAAGCGGGTCTTGATGAAGGCAAAAACATCAACGATCAGTACTTTCAGCCTGCAATCAATCTGCTTCAGAAAGCGTCCGTGCCCGTCAGTGAAGATCATGCGACCGTTTTCTATCACTACGCGTTGTTTGCAGATGATCAATATCGGACAATCGGAACCCGGGATATCGGTCGCTATGAGCTCTACATCCGACGCAAACAGCAAGAACTGGGATGGTTTGAGGCTCAAGGATACGATGCCGCTCTCCGTCGCGTTCAAGAGGCTCGTGCTGCAAAAGTGAAACCGAAGACGAACGACTATAATCTTGTCCATAAGTATCGGGCTCACAGGGATCGCGCATACACCCTACTCAAACGGGACGAGGCCCGTCATGAAGAACTAATTCTTGCTGGGAATCTCTTCTTGCGGAAGGCCATGGAAATGTTTTCAAAAGTGCTACGCTTCTCGGACAAATTCGATGAGAGCGCAGCCGTTCGGCTACTCGCACGCTGGTTCAGTCATTTCAAGGACGACAGCCTAAATGATTCCGTTTCCACTGATCTTGATCAAGTTCCCTCGCACAAATTTGTGTTCCTGGTACATCAACTATCAGCACGAATGGAGAGGACGCATGTGCTCTCTAGTGGTCAGAGGAATCTCCAATCTCTCATGTTGCGCATCTGCAAAGAGCATCCATTTCACAGCTTATATCAGGTCTTTGCCCTAGGAGGTTTGAAGCGATCGAGGTTATCTACAGCTGTATTAGACGAAGGATCTCAACAAGGTCGTGCTGACGCCGCAGCATTCATCCACCATACGCTCGCGGTCGACAATGTCGCTGGGCGAAAGATAAAGCACATGTTCGAAGCTTGCGATGCGTACCTTGAGTGGGCAAATTATCCGATGAAGGCCCAAAAGCCGGAACAGAACAAGAAGCACGCCATGCCATCTCGCCTGCGTCTTCTTCGATTGGTGAACTGCGATGTACCTGTCGCCACATCTCACACCCCGATAGACAAAACCATGCAATATAACGACATAGTCACGATTCGGAACTATGAGCCGACTTTCAGGGTTGCCGGAGGGAACAACTGTCCCAAGATTAACGAATGTAATGGGTCTGATGGTCGTTCGTATAAGCAACTAGTAAGTGCTCTACTTGCACGTGACTTTGTGCTGCTAAATACTCGGAACACAGTTCAAGGGTGAAGGCGGTGATGATCTGCGTCAGGACGCTGTTATGGAACAAGTATTTGAATTGGTCAATCATTTGCTGCAACATGATTTGCACACGCGAAAACGCCGGCTGCAGATGAGGACATACCGCGTCATTCCCTTGGCGTCGCAAGCAGGCATGCTCGAGTTCGTCGAGAGCACAAGCCCACTCGGTTCATGGCTCCAAGTGGCACATAGCAAGTATGTTCAGCAGTCATGTCTTCATGCAATTGGGGTTAAATGATTTCAGATATTACAGAAACGAGTCGTCCACCGCCAAGATACGAGAAAGATTACCTCAGCCTGAAGCTCAAACACCACCTGATCGCAAATACAAAATCTTCCAAGATATATGCAAGCATGTTCGTCCCGTCATGCGACATTACTTTACAGAAAAGAGAAAAGTGCCCGCGGCCTGGTTCGCGATGCGGTTGCGATATGCACGAAGTGTCGCGGTAAGCTCCATCGTCGGCCACATCCTAGGTTTGGGAGATCGGCATCTTTCTAACATCTTGATCGATAACAACACGGGAGAAGTGGTTCATATTGACCTAGGTATTGCCTTTGACCAGGTTCGTCGATGTTCGTTTGCTCCGCATCATGCGCTGATGTTTCCATAGGGAACTTTACTTCCAATTCCGGAGACGGTACCGTTTCGCCTGACGCGCGACATTGTTGACGGATTAGGCACATCTGGGACGGATGGCGTATTCCAACGTTGTGCCGAAAATACGCTGCGAGTTTTGAGAGAACAGTCTGATCATATCAAGACTGTTCTCGAAGTATTCCGTTATGACCCTCTTCATTCATGGTGGGTCGCTATTCAAAGAAAATGTCAGCAACCCGACACTGACTTCGGCGCAGGACCGCAAGCCCATTTCAGATTGCAAAGGCGCAAGCCACGGAAGTTACTACCACTAGCAGTGGCCTCCCTCCGTCCACTGCTGGAAGCGAGTTCCCACCCCCCACAGCCCTGTCAAGCCGACCAACTGAAGCAGACGTCACTGAAGAACTCAATATGGAGAGCGATATGGCACAAGAAAACGCCGATCGAGCTCTGAAATCCGTTGCCGACAAGCTGGACAAGAGCCTGAGCGTCGAGTATACCGTCAACAGATTGATAAATGAAGCACGAGATCCATGGAATCTTTCACAAATCTATTCAGGTGAATAAGTTTTGTTGGCCACAATGGGCGCGACAACTGATTTTTCGGGCTCTGACAGGATGGCTCCCATGGTATTAGTACACTTATATCCCTAACACGACGATTCCCCTCCGAATAGCATTTAATACTGCATTGTCATTATTATATAATATTCTAGTACTGGTTACGAGGATTGTAAAATGCGACGTTACTGCAGACCCCAACTGAGGGTCTCCCAATCGCAATCTGCTGGCAAACGCTTCTGCTGCTTGAATTGTTACAGTACTCTCAACCTGCTACTATGGCGTTTAACTTGTCTAATCGATGTGTACATCACTTTGGGCGAGCAATCACAGGGGTACACCGACAGTTCTCCTATTCAGTATTACGATCGACGGACAAGGATCACAAGTTGCACAAGCTGTACCAATCGTTTAGCGATCCTACCACACCATATTACATGGGACCGGGCGAAGTGGGACCGAGTGACCCAAACGATCCTCCGATCGAGTCAATGACATATCAGGAGTATAAAGAAGCCTCTGCCCCCCATGGCCGCAAGAAGGAGAAGCCACCTGCGGATACAGCTCCAATCGGGAAGGCTCACGCAGACCAGGCCCCTCCCCAACTTCCACCGGGGACACGACCGCTTTCTGAGGAGGAAAGACATAGCTTGATAAATGGACAGATGGCGGGATCTGCGGCTGCGGTGCTGCATCTTAAGGAAGAGGGATTTGATCTGGATACTGCCTGGGAGCAGTCTGTTGCATGGGGCGATCTGGATAGCTTCAGGCATCTCAACAACGTCAAGTACATTAAATACTTCGAGTCGGTTCGTTCTCATGTCTCTCTCGAAATGATCGTCTGCTTATCAACTGTTGATCGCAGGGCCGCATGCGACTTACCCAGCGATTAGGCGAGCAGATTGGTGGCACGAAGTTGGCAAGAGACATGATGGAGGCTCGGGGAGTAAGCATAATTCTTAAGAGCATTGATGTGAAGTTCAAAGTGAGCAATACCTTGCCTCATGACTGTGATGGCGTCTCATTTGGATACTACCATCCAGCGTCCCGTGACATACCCCGATACCGTGTGCACATTTCATGCGACCACCTCATTCATAATCCTGACAGATTCACCAGTTGCTAATTGCTCACAAGCCGCATTCCTTTGCACCTACCCAATTCACCCTCTCGTGCATCGCCTATTCATTCACACAGAGCGCCCCCGTCTGCACAGCTGAGGCTGTCTGCGTCTGGTACGACTACGACGTATGGAAGAAGTGTATCCCACCGCCGGAACTTTACGATGCACTCCGGACAAGGGCGCCGAAGGAGCGGGATTGAATGACGACAGGGAGGTGAACGAGCACAGGTTGAAGATAGAGGACATCTAGCCGAGCTGCGAAAATCGATGATGGAGAACGAAAGGACACGACAAGGGGAACATGTCATCGATGTATTTCGCCCGTTGGCATCGACGATTGATGAATGACACGGCAGGACGATTGCTCGTTTGTCATATAAATTGAATTATGTCTGCGACTGCTTCATAAGGGTTCTGATATTCTTCATTGAGATGCAATGGTATGTACATGTCCGCGCAAAGAGTCATTGTGGAGCATGGGCGGCAGGAGATGTACCAGAAGAAAAAGGCGATGCAGAGAATGTGTTGATCACGGAAATGATATGAGAAAAACGATACTAGAGTAGCTGGCGTGTCCGGCCTAGGCTTGGTTCGAGAGGATTAAGAGTGGACAATGGCTGGATCGGGCCAACGAGACTCGAGCGTCGGCAAGCTGATGAGGGAAAGGATTCAAAATTAAGCGCTCTCAGGTTAGGAAAACCGAGGAAAGTGCACCGAAGCAGTTCGCCATTGCCGAAGTACGCGTAGCCTTTCGCGAGTGCCAACTTCTCGTTCAGGTCGAAGAATAGGATTTGAAACCGTAGATCAGAGGGGCTTCAGTCGCACTCTTGTTCCATGCTCAAGTATTTCAAGGTCCGCTGCACTAGCATCGTCCCTGCTTCCATACGCCGAGTGGGAGCTAGGCTGATATGAAGTGAATGGAGTGATGAAAAGAGCGGCGAGTCGACAGTTTGAAGTAGCCAGTCACGTAGGAGCTCGGCACATCAATCCGTTGGGTTCTTCTTGTCTTCCCAGGTTAAGTGCGACTTATCGACCATGCGCGTATATATCCTCAGTCGTTGGAGAACCTATGCGAAACTAATTGAGTTGGAGTTGGGCGAGACAGCCAATACCATGCATAATCATCAAATGAGAGCGCCTTCAGCAGTAGTCGCGACGACAACATTGCACGGTGCGCTTCGCATATGTGTTTGGCAGATACCAAATTATGTGCTGTGCAATTTCAGGAATCCGCCAAACGTCAACCATGGTGAAGTGGTAGAACGGAAAGACGTGGCAAAGTCGTGTTGCGAGGAATGATGGTGGCACGGCGCTTGAAGCGACCAAAAAAGGGCAGAATTTTCAGTTCGGGTTACCGGTTCGGGTATAGTGCATACATAACAACTACGCATCTGGATTGGCTGTGCCATCTCGGCCAATTCCTGCCGGGTGCACAGACAAGGCAGGATATCGTCCCAGTGTAACATTAACGACCTATCAGCTACCTTGTTCAGTTAGAGATGAAGGGATATTCTGAGCAAGATACCCAGAAGGGCGTTCTGCAGTCGAGCCAATTGGACTCTCCTGAATGTTCCGTTAGCCAAGTGCACGTGACGGCAGGTGACCAACACAATTAGGATACATTCCAGAAAGAGAGAGCTATGTGAGACAGATCCCAATCCCTTGCGATGGCAGTGGAACGTGCGACTGACTTGAGGATGCCAGTAAATAACGCGCAGGCTCGCTGGCGGAGGAGATGAGGCGCCGGGCGTCCAGTAGTCAGAAAATAATGGAAGATACTAGAGTCCCTTAGCTCGCCATCTCGAAAGGATTCATATAGCGTGGTATAACACTTTGAATGTGCATAAGTATTCCAGAGAGCAATGAATCCAAGCAGAATAAATTAATAGGATGACGTTGTTTGAACAAAGGTTTGCAGACGTGTAGCGCCCAGGTGGTCGGACGTCGTTTGAGAGTCTCGAGGGTATCTGGGGTCCCATAAGCCGCGTCAGCGCAAAGAAGAAAGCTCCCGTTGCCCTCTCGCACTTTCCAAACCAAACGCAAGTCGCGCCCCTCATAAGCGGGTCGGTCGCGTTCACCTTGCACCTCTACCATCACCATCGCTGAACCCATACCACCCAGCCAGACACCATATTATAGACCATGGATCCCTCTGGCGCCCCCACGCAAAATCCTAACGACACGTCGACGGCAATTCTCCGGCCGAAGAAGTCGTACGTGGAACCTGGCTCATGTGGAGGACGAGCGCATATACTGACCGTTTTCCGCAGGCCCAACCGTTTGATCGTGGATGAAGCAACCTCGGATGACAACTCCGGTGTGTGAACTCGACTCATGCATAAACTTGTTGAAATTGACTGGGTTTCTAGTTGCTACGCTCAACCCGGCGACAATGGAGACGCTCCAGCTGTTCCGGGGCGATACCATCATTGTCAGGTGTGTCTCGTAGGTTCAGCAGTTCTTCACCCCTGGCTGACCGGTTCTTCAGGGGAAAGAAGAGAAAGGACACTGTGCTAATCGTACTGTCATCGGACGATGTTGATGAGGGCAAGATTCAAATGAACAAGGTGGCTCGCAACAACCTCCGTGTCAAACTAGGTGATCTCTGCACTGTTCACGCATGCAACGATATCAAGTACGGCAAGCGTGTACACATTTTGCCCTTCGACGACTCCGTTGAGGGTCTCTCCGGCAATTTATTCGATGTGTACCTCAAGCCTTACTTCCTCGAGGCATACCGTCCTGTACGCAAGGGTGATACCTTCCTTGTTCGCGGTGGCATGCGTACGGTTGAATTCAAGGTCATCGAGACGGACCCAGCAGAGTATTGTATCGTTGCACAGGACACAATCATCCACACGGAAGGCGAGCCGGTCAAGCGGGAGGACGAGGAGAGCAATTTGAACGAGGTTGGCTACGACGATATTGGAGGTTGCCGCAAGCAAATGGCACAGATCCGCGAACTTGTCGAACTTCCCCTGCGTCACCCACAACTCTTCAAGTCGATAGGTATCAAGCCTCCACGTGGTATTCTCATGTTCGGTCCGCCCGGTACTGGTAAAACGTTGATGGCCCGGGCTGTTGCAAACGAAACTGGCGCATTCTTTTTCCTCATCAACGGCCCAGAAATCATGTCCAAGATGGCAGGTGAATCCGAGAGCAACTTGCGAAAGGCGTTCGAGGAGGCTGAGAAGAATTCGCCGGCTATCATCTTCATCGATGAAATTGACTCTATCGCGCCTAAGCGTGAGAAGGCGAGCTTGTCCTACTTCCTCAGTCATCATTTACTAACGGTTCACAGACCAATGGAGAGGTCGAGCGCCGTGTCGTGTCCCAACTGCTTACCCTTATGGACGGTCTCAAGGCTCGTTCCAATGTCGTCGTTATGGCTGCTACCAACCGTCCCAACTCCATTGACCCCGCTCTTCGTCGGTTCGGCCGCTTCGATCGCGAGGTCGACATTGGCATCCCGGACCCCACTGGCCGCCTGGAAATCCTCCGCATTCACACCAAGAACATGAAGCTTGCAGATGATGTCGACCTTGAACAGATCGCTGCTGACACCCACGGCTACGTTGGTTCCGATGTTGCGTCGCTCTGCTCTGAGGCTGCGATGCAACAGATTCGTGAGAAGATGGATCTTATCGACCTCGAAGAGGATACCATCGACGCGGAAGTTCTTGATTCGCTCGGTGTCACCATGGACAACTTCCGCTTTGCTCTCGGTGTTTCGAACCCCTCTGCCCTCCGCGAGACGGTTGTCGAAGTGCCCACAGTCACCTGGGACGACATTGGTGGTCTCGAGAAGGTCAAGCAAGAACTGCAGGAGACAGTGCAATATCCTGTCGAGCATCCCGACAAGTTCATCAAGTACGGCATGTCTCCCTCGAAAGGTGTGCTCTTCTATGGGCCACCAGGTACTGGTAAGACGATGCTTGCCAAAGCGATTGCGAACGAGTGCCAAGCAAATTTCATCTCGATCAAAGGACCCGAGCTGCTTACGATGTGGTTCGGTGAGTCCGAGGCAAATGTTCGTGACGTATTCGACAAGGCTCGTGCGGCCGCCCCTTGTGTCATGTTCTTCGATGAACTGGACTCGATCGCGAAGGCTCGCGGTGGCTCGTCTGGTGATGCTGGTGGAGCGAGTGATCGTGTGCTGAACCAGATCCTTACGGAGATGGACGGTATGAACGCGAAAAAGAACGTGTTCATCATTGGCGCGACCAACCGGCCAGATCAGATCGACCCCGCTTTACTGCGTCCTGGTCGTCTTGACCAGCTCATCTACATCCCGTTGCCCAACGAAGTTTCCCGTCTCTCCATTCTCCAAGCTACACTCAAAAAGTCGCCCATTGCGAAGGACGTTGATCTCAGTTTCCTTTCCAAGTCCACCCATGGCTTCTCTGGTGCCGATCTTACCGAAATTTGCCAACGCGCCGCCAAGCTGGCCATCCGTGAGAGTATAGATGCGGACATTCGGCGACAGCGGGAAAAGAAGGAGAAGGGCAAGGGTGAGGGTGAGGAGGCGATGGATGAGGACGCCGAGGAGGACCCTGTCCCCGAAATCACCCGGTAAGTCACATATTTCTCAATTTGTAAAAAAGTTTTTTTCTCATGTTCGATTGTTTCAGGGCGCACTTCGAGGAAGCTATGAAGTATGCACGTCGTTCGGTGTCTGATCAAGACATCCGGCGTTACGAGATGTTCGCCCAGAACCTGCAGCAATCTCGGTCGTTCGGGTCGACGTTCAAGTTCCCGGAGGGCGGCGAAGGTGCTGCTCCTGCGGCGGCTGGAGCACCCCAGGGTAACCAAGGGTTCAACCAAGAGGAGGCTGACGATGATCTGTACGCATGAGCATCAGGAAGTTGACGGACATAACCCCTGCATTGGGAGCAGCCTAATCATAGCGCTTGATCCTCGGTGCCAGCCGGTACTGAGCGGATTCTTCTTCTTTTGCATTCTCGTTCTTTCTCACTCCTGTATGTACATGGCCCAAAATACAACGTGTCTCCCATAGATCTGTGCTTCTACGGCCAGGCTGGTATGCATGGTGCAATAGAATTTGAGTGTCCGAAGATGGATGTTGCCGATGTATAGGAACCTAAATGAGATTGAATTCGTGTCCGGCCTCCGTTGGCTGTCCATATATGACGATGTCGCGCCCCTCGTTGTCTCGTTCTCAGGCCCACTTCCCCTCCAGGAGGTTAATATCAACTCCTCCTCAACTTATCAACCCTAACTTCTATCTCCCCCAACCCGACCTCTCCGGCCACCCTCGCCATACCCGCTTCATCGCCAAGCAGACCCGTTCAGCATCCAGAAGCGTCAACCCTGACCTCCGACAACCGACGATTCCCCGCAATATTGACGCAAACAGCGAAAGTTTGAACGCCAACCCACACACCCCTTACTATACTGTCCTCTTATCAGTCTTACTTTGCTCCATATTTCTGTAATATCGACCAGCAAGCTACTCTCACCCAGCTAGGGTCGAGTGCCACGTCCTGTTACGCAGCATCTTTCGTCCCAGCCGCGACCTCTTGCACGCCCGTGCATATACCTACTGATCCTTGCCTTCCCTGGCTCATATCTGTCCTTTGACGGTGTCGTCATGCCCAAGTTGGAGTCAGATCAACCCGCCGTGAACGGGGAGAAGGAGAGAGAGAAGGAGAAGGAGAAGAAGGGGCACAAGTCCGGCAAGCTCTCAGGAACGAGCACACCGAGCGCATCGCGTTCGCCCTCGTCTGTGTCGCTCTCTCTCCTACCGAGGCTGAAGATACCCCGGATTGAGGCTCCTCTGCCTCACATCGAGTGCGTATATGCCAGCCCGTGGTAGACGGACACCTTGTTGACACTTCCGGTATAGGTTCGCACCGTTTGTCGTACCTCGGCAGCGGAGACTGCAGACAGCAGCAGTCGCCATGTGGTCGCTCATGGTCCCTCTGACTCAGTCGCTTTTTTTCATCCTTTGGTGCGCTTTCATTCTATCCCGACGAGGAGGATACACGCTAACCATGACGTAGTTCTATCCCGCCCTTCTGGCCACTTATTGCCGCATACCTCATTTGGGTGTTCTTCATCGACGACGCGCCAAACAATGGTGCACGAGCGTGGCCGTGGTTCAGGAGCTTGACATTTTGGAAGTTGTTTGCTCACTATTATCCCGCTGAGTGCGTGTTCTTTTCTTGCTTCCAACTAGCGCTGATGAACTTGACAGGCTGATGAAAGTTTGTCGTTCGTAACGTCGCTCATGCAGAGAGCTGACTAAGCACTTAGGAGGCTGCTCTTCCCCCCGACAGACCGTACATCTTTGGATATCATCCCCATGGGATCATTGGCATGTATGTGCAACTGTTTGCGAGCATTCTCGTCATCTAACTTTCACTGCAGGGGTGCCATCGCTTCCTTTGCAACGGAGAGTACGTGCAGCACAGCGGCTCTATCACGTCACTCTTTACTGATTATCCTCGTAGGCATTGGCTTCTCAGAGAGCTTTCCCGGGATAATACCCCACCTCCTTACCCTCTCCTCCAACTTCTACCTGCCGATCTACCGCGACATCCTCTTATGGATGGGCATCGCTTCCGTCTCGCGAAAGTCGTGCGCAAACATCCTTAAGAAAGGACCGGGACAGAGCATCACTATCGTCATTGGGGGTGCTGCTGAGAGCTTGAGTGCTCATCCTGGGACTGCTGATCTGACTCTGAAGAAGAGATTCGGGTTCATCAAGCTGGCGATTCAGTATGGGTACGTGCGATAATTGTACTCCCAGGTCATACGCTTCTAACACTTCTATAGCGCCGATCTTGTTCCCGTCTTCTCTTTCGGTGAAAATGATGTGGGAGTTCCCTTTTGGGTCCTTATGATCCTTCTGAACCAGAATCAGATCTACGAACAACTCTCGAACGAGAAGGGCACAACCTTGTACAAACTCCAAAAGAAGTTCCAGCATCTATTCGGTTTCACTCTTCCTCTATTCCACGGACGTGGCATCCTCAACTGTAGGCGATCCTTGGAATATTCCTAGCGAATGAACTGACGGACATGGAAGATACGATCGGTCTAATGCCCTACCGCCGCCGAATTGTGATCGTCTGCGGACGACCGATCCATGTTGAGCGTGTTGCCAACCCGAGCCAACAGCTGTTGGAGGAGACGCAAAAGCTGTACATCGAAGAGCTCATGCGGATATGGGACACCTACAAGGATGCGTTCGCGAAACAGCGACGGAAGTGAGCATCCATCTACTGCACATTCCTTGCAAATCGTACTGATTGAGTTACAGAGAGCTCACCCTTATCGCGTAATGCACCCGAGGTGTTGGAGCTTGCCCGCTGTTCGCTGTTATATACCGAAAGTAGTTGTAGGAGCCGGCGGTTCGAATGCTGCGTTGTATCCAATAGAATGCTACTGTCTGTCGATGTAAGAAACGTGTGTGATGCAGCACGCATCTTGGTAGAATTCCCATAGTCCGGTGGGTTTAGTTGATGGATTGAAGCTGACTTCAATTAAGCATGTTTCGGGTATAATTGCAGTTCCTTTCTGAGACAGACATGATGAGGGACAGGGAACAGAATCGGACAGACTATCTCCGAGTTTCTGATGTACATCTAATGAATCCGTTCCAAAACATTGCTTGCTCACTCGATCTCCCTTCTAATGGTTGCTTTTCGCGAGCTTGGGTCTGAAGGTGGGAGGGAGGCGGTTGAATAAAAGAAGACCGAAAGCGGTTTGTGGCATATACGACAATACGAGAGCGCTGGAAGAATTTGCTGATGGTATGTGGACGGGGTTTCGTAGTTGTTCACTGTACAGAATTTAGTGGGTAACAACTGGTGTTGCGTATGCGCGATCTGCCTGAGATATATAAGAGTTGTCTACAGAATCGACGGGAAAGATAAAACAGGTCGATGGCGGAGTTGCAAAAAGAATTACTCACCTGCCTGTACCGAGAACCTACATACATGTTAGAGCTCGGGGGTATCAATTCATCTCCTGCCTGAGCGACGCTAGGATCGAACCCGTGTTGACAGGGAGTCGGCTACATTCTTTCGCGCGACTTAACCACTGAGCCACAGGGGCGGCGAGTGAAACTGCCTGTTTTTGAGTACACGTCCCTGATCCTTAGGCCAGTGATGGGAGCGACCCGGATATTAGGCATCCGCCAGCGGGTTTTCCGGGAGGGTGATGACTGCCGAACCCGTGCTAGGAACCGCGCGGACTGAGGTGGTCCGTGCGCGACGTCTGCTTATTGGTCCCGCAGTGATGTTGAGAAGCCCAGCTTTGCATCCGCATGGCAACCTAACTACTAGTGCTGGCAAATCTTACTTGCTAGACCTCTCGTTGTCTGCCATCTACCTGCGTGTTTCAGTAGAAATCAAGAAATAGAGAGGGAGAGGCAAGGGTCGGTTTATTTACTTGGTGTCGAGTCGCAGTGGAGGTGCATCAGAGATTTGCTACATCATTTACTTCTCCTTTTGGACCTATGACAAACCTAATTTGTTTTCGTTTGCCGTCTTCCTCTTCCTCTACCGTGGAATTTTATCCGCCCTCTTTCCCTTCTCGATTATGGTGTGATTTCATTTCTAGCAGTCAATCTTTTGTTCTAACATAAAAATCAATATGCATACAGGAGAATCTCATGCATCCGTCAGTTGATGATTGAGCATAGTGAGACAGACGATGATGCGGACCTGTGCCTGTGACTGTGACTGTGCCTGAAAACAAAAGGTTCTTCATGCAGTGTGTCACCAGCGTTTCGTTTCCATATCTCATTATCACTCTATCATCTCATCATGCCTGACGTATGGCGGATTCCCGAACTCGCAACGCACATAATTGGGTTTTTGCCAGACACAGATGCGAAGCGCGTCTTGCAATGTTGCCGTCGCGACTTCGAGCTTGCAGTTGGACGAGCGTGGGAAACGACGGAGACGCAAGACTTACACAAACTGCTGAAGGTGCTATCTATTGCGACGAATAAGGACCATGTATGTTGTTCAGTGCGAAGTTCTTATCTTTCGTCAATCTCACTCTCGTACGCACAGGCTCTGGAGCGACTGAGAATGTATATGCGCTTGATCAAGACGTTGGACTTGTACTGGGAAACATACCAGGACGAGGCCGACGAGTGCATAAGGTTACTGCATGGTTGGCTACTTGAAACTGTCGAATTTCCCCTGCTTCCCTCTCTTCGTTCCTTGCAAATAAGTCTGGCTTCACAAGAACGCATGGAAGTGGCGACGATGCTCATCCAGCCGACACTGCAATCCTTCACCATCGATGATCAGACCATTTTTTGCAAACTTCCCTGGCTGGCCATGGGTTATCCAAGAGGATACCCATCCGAACTCTGGGAATCCCCCTCATTCAAAGCGTTGAATGGGAGGCTGGCGTTCACAAGCAACCTGACCGAATTCAAGTGTCTCGAGGGTTACGCGTACTTCGACGATGACGAAATGTTCCACAGCACTTTTGCAAACCTTCCCAGCCTGACTGCCATACACTTCAGGGCCCTTCTTGGACGAAAGACAAAATTGCTACCGTCATAGGCCTGCCAGCGCTCGAGGTGCTTCAACTCGGCGATTTTGAATACGAGGATCACGATGGTCTCCGCCTCATCGATGTATCTAATATCGATGTATCTGATTTATTCTATTTTCCACGCTTGACGACTTTCCGTTGTACACACATTACGAATGTCCCGCTCTCTTGGATCCTACTCTCGCGAATGAACACCTTGCGTCATGTCGATATCGAGATTGTTAGTTCGGATGAGCAGCCATACGGCTCGGAATTCTCTGTACGCCGATTATGTACGTTTATCACCCAATCTGCCGAACATCTCCAGGCCGTCAAGATCACGCTCAGGCGCTGGAACGAGGGTTCATATCCCATCTCGGACTTCTCCTCTCTGAACGAGTGTCGCAAACTTGAACGGGTCTTTATAAAATGCGGCGGAGACTTCGTCAACCTGACGAACGATCATTTTAAGCACATGGCAGAATCGTGGCCGAAACTTTCCGTTCTTTCCCTCATTTCGTCCGCACGCCTTGAGAATGCATCGATCGAACTGGATAAGCCAGAACCAACTTCTGTCAGTTTGGACGTCCTGCATCACTTTGCCATCCACTGTCCCAACCTTGACATCATCCAAATTCCAAACTTGATTAGCCTCCCACCTACCTCATACCCGACTGTTCCACCCCAAGATTGTTATCAGCACACGCTGCGAATCGCTCTTGGCGATCTCTCTAATAACTTCGCTGAAGTCGACAATCTGGCACGTTTCTTGGGCGGTCTCTATCCCAGGCGAAGGATCCGGATGAAAGACAGGACAAATTATGCAAAGGAGGTGCAGAAAGCTATCGACGCGTACATGGATCAGATCCTGGACGGGGTCTCGTAGTTTCTGTTATGCATATACGACAACTGCGATCCGACGTGGAACCGATACGAAACCTCGCACGGCTCTTTGGCATGGTCCCCCGACTGTCCCAAACACAGAAGCAATGCGAGCCGTCCCCAACAACGCGATCATTTCCTGGAGTCTGCCTATACTGTCATAATGACCTTCGCATCTCTACGGAGACTGCTACTGTACTCTATCTCGTCTTGTTCCGAATTGTGCCGCTTCCGTGTGACCTCTTTTTGCTGCGTTGTCAGTACATAGACACAGTAATGCCTTTCTTCACCTTTCCCGTTTATACCTCCTCTCTGATATCACCAAGTCAGGTGATATCACTTCCCATCCATGGGTGTTCCCAAATTGTCGGTACCATTAGTAACTCAACAAAAAGAGTTGCAAACGGCCTGACGCGGATTCTTGGTATCAACAAACCAAATTTCATACATAATACGACATGGATTATAGCGTATGTAAGTGGGGAATAGATCTCTCGTCGCGCCCACTTCCCCGGAAAACTAAAGTGATACAATGCGTAAGTATGGGAGCAGTGCTAGGTTCGTCTATCGAGCGCAAGAGTGTGAATAGTGTCGCTCTCCTCCACTCCCCATGCCGGCCCGGCAGCTGCAGTAGTCGCCCCTTCTCATCTTGGTCCGCCCGTCCCCTAGCTAACACCATACCACGCCAGCAAGCCCTCATAAATCGAGTACATCACCGCCGCATTAGGGACGACCCTCAACAAATGCGCGCTCAACCCTCCATACAAGCTCCTCACCCCTTCCTCCCGGATGACAACAGTGAACGTCTGGATCAAGCCGCGGTACTTGACCCGGCCGTTCTCGATGGGCTGGCGCAGGCGCGTACGGACAACTTCGTGCGGGTACGTGATGAGCGACGCGATCATCTTGGCTGCTCCTGCGGCGCCTAGCATGCCGAGCCATTCTGTGGCACCTCCACGGCCTCGCACGCTACTCTTGAAGTTCTCGTATAAGGTCCACTGGATCGTACTCTCCGCACAGCCAAGGTAGCTTGCTGAAAGCCCTTTATATAATCCTGGTATGCCCTCGTGTGCCAGGATATGCCGGATGCACGCCAACGAGGAGGTAAAAGGCTGTGATTGGGAGGCGGAGAGCTGAAGGCGGGTCTTGACTACCCAGATCGGGTTTGTCGCTGTGCTTGTTACGATGCCTATGGACTGTCAGGCGGGTCACGTATATGTCCGCGAGGGCTTACCGGCCAAAGCACCAGCAGTGAGGAATACCCACGTATCCTCTATCCCGTTATTAAACTTGTTCGCAATGATCTGCTTCCCATTCCCATACGTGAAGAAGTTGATACTTCGCGCGGGGACGACGCCAACGAGCGTCGGCCCGAGACCCTTGAACAGCGCCGCAGAGCCTTCATATTTGTGGATAGAGCGGATGAGTAGAGCGGTGTCGTAGAATGCCCAGAGGATGTTTCTGCTCGTGTGGGCGACTTGGGCGGCCGTGTGTGCCGGATGCGCTCCGGCAGGCATCCGAGGGCGGAAGGAGGGGGTGTTGGAGGAAGAAGAAGCGGTTGCGAGATGTGGACGCGGCGTGGCAAGATGGTGTGGTGCACGATCGTGTGCTAGCGAATGTCGGAACATGTTACTCTGCAATCGGGTTTTGACGACGTCAAACGGAGAAGTGACGATTGCACCGCACATCCCTCCCAGCCTATAACGAGAGTCAACGGGATGCAACATGAGAAAGGCCAGACGCACCCTCCCGCTACGAAATGGGTCCAGGACTTGGCTGGTATCCAGTTGGTTGAGAAGGAGGGCGGAGGGGTGGAGGCCATCGTGCTCATCGTGGACTCGAGGTCTGCCGGTTTGGCAGTTTTGGTCCTCTGGTAGAGGAGAGTGCCTGGTCGTGTTGCCCGGGCGGTGAATACTAGTCCAGCAGTAGTAAAATGGGATACAAATAGCGACGGAGGTGGGCGGCGAAGAGTGTGTGTGAAGGAGGAGGAGGAGGTGATGAAGAAACAGAGAATGAAAACCGGAGTAAATGAATGATTTGTTGACCCAAATTATTTCGCGTCGCTCCGGGCACAGCCACTAAGAGCAAGTCACAGGCTAGCGGAGAAAATATCCCTCTTTTTTCGGCTCCGGTGGATATCGGCAGTGATGAACACGATGATGAGGAGACGACAACGAGAACGACGACAACGACGGGGATGAGACGACGACCACCGCCTCTAGGACGACTCCTACGTCGAGGGTATGCTACTGCTAATGGGTTCGTGCCCACCCGCTCACCGGCGGAGTATCTCGCCGCTATCAAGGCGAACGACCAGGGCACAGACCGGTGGAACGCCTTCGTCGCCATCAACCCGGACAGTGCGTCCTTTCTCCCACCAAAGAAGTTGGCTGACATTCTGCAATGTAGTTCCAACCGAACACAAGCTAACCATCGCAGTCAAGGACAACATCTGTACTTCTTTCCTCCCCACGACCTGCTCCTCCCGCGCCCTCTCTAGCTTCCATCCGCCCTACGACGCCACCTGCGTGTCTCTCCTGCTCACACATGGCGCACACATAATAGGCAAGACGAATCTGGACGAGTTTGGCATGGGGTCGTTTGGCGTGCATTCCGTTCATGGGCCAGTGCGGAACCCTAGGGATAGGGAACGCGTACCAGGCGGTAGCAGCAGTGGGAGTGCCGCTGCTGTCGCAGGGGGTTTATGCGACGTGTGGGTTTCCCCTCAAATCCTAGGACTTTACCTGACCACAATGAAGTGCTCTTGGGAGCGATACAGGCGGATCGATTCGACTTCCCGCGTCATACTCTCAAGTCTTGGGTCTTAAGCCGTCCTACGGTCTGATCTCACGGTACGGCCTAATCTCGTACGCCGACTCGCTGGACACGATCGGCCTTCTCGCGCGCGACTTCTCAGCTCTGAGAGAGACATTCGGGATCATAGCAAAGGAAGATGAGAAAGACGCGACGTGCGCCCCAGCAGAAGTGAGGGCAGAGATGCGTCATCGCACCGAGGAGCGAGCTTACGGGCTAAGCGAGCTGAAGGCGGGAGCGAGTGGGCTTCGTATCGGCATCCCCGCAGAGTACTTCCCTGCCGAACTGGGGCCTTGCTCTATCCAGCCCCTACGGCACGCACTCTCCGTCCTCCATTCGCTCGGCGCTACCCTCGTACCTGTTAGCTTGCCAGCAACGAAGTATGCCCTAAGTGCATACTACGTCCTCGCCAGTGCGGAAGCGTCTTCCAACTTGGCGCGGTATGATGGTGTACGCTATGGTTGGCGTGCGCCTCTAGAAGAGGGGGAGCGCGGGGACACCGCTGCGAGGTATGCGAAGACCCGCAGTGCCGCTTTTGGGGAGGAAGTGCAGCGACGTCTCTTGCTGGGGACGTATGCCCTTACAGCAGAGTACGTGCTCTTCGTTTTGACTTGCATGTGGTGCTGAATGCCTCGACAGTGCATTCGACAACTACTACCTCCAAGCGCAGAAAGTGCGCCAAATGGTGAAACACGATTTGGACAGCATATTCCGTGCTCCGAACGTGCTCAACTTCCCGCCCAACGTCAACTCCTCCGAGCCCTCGCAGTGCATCCCCCTCCGACCGGAACTCGACTCTGGCGTAGATGTCATCTTGCACCCCACGGCTATCGGTCCTGCTCCGTTGTTGGAGGACGTGCGTGAAGGCCGGGGAAGCCCTTTGGATGCGTATGTGCAGGATGTGCTGAGCGTACCTGCGAGCTTGGCTGGACTGCCGGCGCTGAACATACCTGTCCCTGTGAACGCCGATGTGAGAGCAGAGGGCGGAGAGGGTACGGAAGGAGGAGTAGGGGTGAGCGTCGTCGGCCAATGGGGGTGGGACGAGATGGTACTAAACGTGGGGGAGCTCATCTACGAAGCTACCAGAAGATGATATTACTCTTTGTTTATTATAATAAAACTACTCCCTAGCCCTCAATTTCAACCCTGTGATGCCACCCGAGGCATCTTCAGTCCCCTGCAGCTCTATCCCCTCTACCCTCTTCTGGTTCTCTACGTTGCCAGCGAGCAGGTTCCGAACGGCAAACAATGCGTGCTCTCGTAAGTCTGCCAACATGTCAGTCTACATACCTCTCAGGCTGTAGAATCAGCTCACATGGGTTCCGCCGATCTCCAGTAGTAAGGCTGAGGATGAGCTCTACCCCTCCAACCTGCCCGACTCGGTCTTGCACCTCGGGCGAGCCATGGGCTAAGGTGGAGACTAACCGCACGATCGACCGGTTCACGTAGCTTAACGCATCCGGCTCGGTTGATTCTGGTCCCTCATCTAAAGGATGGATTGCCGGTGTGTGAGACGTAAGATACCGCAAAAGTTCTACTACCGGTTAGCCATAATGAAGCGAAGGAGAACCGAAAAGGTACCAATCAGCGACTCGGGCACTCCTACCCCATCTTCACCTCTGCTTCGCTCAAGGACAGCCCGAAGATCTCGTTTCGATTTCGAGTCTGCATCTTCCCGAAGCACGGACTGGTTCACGATATCCAGCACGAGCACAATGCCTTGCCCGAGGTTGACTTCCGGCTGTTGATGATCCTGCAGGTGTCGGATATGTTCTGAGAGGGATAGGAGGGATGGGATGAGCGAATAGACTGATGATATTGGTACAGTTGATCTTGATGGTGCGTGTAGGTAGGAGTCGTATAGTTTTAGGAGAGTGAGCTGGGCCGGTGGTAGTAGATGAGATGGTCTGCACGGTGGTTAGTGCCCGAGTCTCACAGGAATAAGGCGGTTGCGAACATAGATAGCGATACAAACAGATGGTCAAACAGATCGAGCTGGAATACGTTACTGAATACTGAATAACTGAGAAGTCTGTCAGCCAGTGACAGTAGGCATGTGCGTCATCATCAACAAACCCCAATTGGAACACCTTGGCTTCGTCACCTTCCTCTTCGGATTCGAATACACGATCTATCCAGTCTAGTAGGGGAACAACAACACGGGTTTCGGGTAAAATTGTGGTGCGATGTACGCTTTCGACGGTGAGGTTGAGAACTAAGACGAATGTGGAGATGATCGTGTTTACATCAGTGCTATACAGAAGGCGCCTGGGCATTCGTTCAATTCTGCCAATCCACACCAGACAAATAGAAGCGTAGCATACAGAATTGGAGACAATTCTCCTGGAAGGGCTGCGTACGCTTCCCATATTCTCTGGGCGAGCGTATCATTTGACGTGATCATATTAGATAGTAACTGAGCGAGGCTCTGCACATGTGGATAATCTGAGGCTCCATCAGCTGCCAGAAGAGATCTGCATAGCACATACATACATCCTTCATCATTCAGCCATACGCCGGCAGTGAGAGCCTGAACAATGATTCTTATGGAAGGTTCGGCGATACTGCAAGCTCATCAATTTGGTATTCGCCGCCTAGAGCGGTGTCACGCACAATGCTTTGTTCTGATTTTCTGGAACCCCCGCAACTGCATTCCGGGTCAATCTCGTCAGTCCAAGTAAATAATCCGCATATCCTTCGTCCTCCCCTGGTTGGAATACACTGGCGAGAAGTTCCCAATTACGGTTTAGACCAACCCAGAAGTCGTCCTGAGGGGCAAGGGCAGACCGCGCTTCAGCTGATGAAGCAAGATGACGCGAATAGGACAGGAGCGCAGTGCCGGTGGAGATCCGGTCTTCCTTACTTGAGTTGGCGTCGCCCGTATCCAGGCCGTAAGGAAAGCCTATTGACATGTATAGATGATATCGAAACGTTTCAACCTCAATCTGGCGTCGCAATACGAATGCCGTCTCAGGGCTCGTAGGTCACGTGAGGTCATAAAATTTTACATCATCTAGGATCTCACAACGTTGGAGGTGTCTTCCCTCATCAGCGGCAGGGGATAACATGGAATTCGATACTCGAAAATGCCATTGTATGGGAGAGACACAGTATAGGCTGATCAGCTAGGGAATCACCTACTAGCACCGGACCGGCTGCTAGACAAACGCTTCTGCCCTATGTCCGCCGCGCTGATAATCTCGCAAGGCGATGGTGATGCTAACTAATGGTCGCGGAACCTTCCCCTACAAAGAAACTGAGAGCAAATATAGCTTTGGAAGGCGTGCCTGATCAATTCAGTTAGCTTGGCAACTGCCGGGACTAAATGGTAAAAGTGGATGCTTCGCCGTGGTTCATATTGCAATGACTCATTATGTTCTCAACTCGTGTTTCCGCAAGATGATAGGAATATTCCTCTCGAGGGCGATGCCGACTAGGAAAGTGGTGATCATGCTAAGGGTATTGCTACGCATGTAGCGCCGTCGATCCTCGAGCATCTAATTGGATCCACATTGATGATCGTAGAGGCAGCGTAACTCACGCTGATCAGCTCCACGATCTGGTGGGCAGGCTTCACGGTCCGGTGCTCAAACCCGTTTCTTTCGCGGTTGATTGTTCGCTTCGGCCAACTCTCGTACGATTTCCTGGTCCAATTCTACGGCTTCAGTCAGTAATCATCGATATCATCAGCAACACTGCTGGTAACAAGTCAGTGAGTTTGAACCCTCCGCCTTCTCGAACATGTCCACGCTTGCGGAATTCGAGATCCCCTTTCCCTTGCATTCACTTACGGAACCCTATCAGACAGCACAGCCATGGGGAATCCTTCCACATACCTTGCTTGATTATCCTCTAGATCTTCTGATGTGGGGCCACAGGTCGTGTACAGCAGTCCAACACTAGTGTTGGACTGCTGCTCATCATCGGAGCTTTAATTCGAATAGAAAATGCTATTGCGCTGCTCTCGTCCTGTATGTCTCCGCTGCACCTGAAGATAAGTAATTCTTGCCTTCTAAACGGGTCCTCAGACCCGGCACGCCGTGCTGGCATCGGCACTTGGCTCAAAGTGGGAAATGACGCTCGTGGGGGTGGCAATCATTCTGGACGATACAGTTGTGTTCCCAGCGACAGCTAAAGGTGACAGCTACCACAAGGCGCCCGAGATTCTTGCACGGATCATCAGGGCCAGCCTTTCCGTACCTGCGCGAGCCACAAGATGCGGCTTTATCTCGGGCGCCGGTACGAGGTATCCTCACTTGTTCTGCTTCCCTTATAAAGGAGTTCAAACCACTTCCTAACGGGATGTTCCCCGTGATCAGCCAGATGGTCCTCGTGGAAAACGCATTTTTGATGGAATTTAGTCCACTGGGAGCATTGCCAATTGATGAGGTCATGTGTCGGGGTGCACAGGCGGTTGGTCGTGTCATTCATGGCGGACCTGACTGGATGGCGCATATAAAGGCCATGATAGGCGAACGATTCTCTTCTTTGAACTCCCTGCGTCTATCGGTCGTTCACGTGCTCTTCCATGGTATATCCTAGCCGTCCTTGTAAGCAGCTTGCCTCCCACCTCCGACCTTACCTAACACTGGTTGAACAGACACTGTTCGCGCCGACTATGGAACGCGGTACAGACAAATCGAAAAAGCGCCCTTGACTGAGGGTGACAGTACTCCAGGTTCTTTTGAGGTAGCCGTCGCTGACGTTTCAAGCAGGTGAAGTGAACCAGTATCACGAATGGGTACGACAGACCCCTGCAGAAGGCTTCGTGCTTCCTTTCGAGCAAGACAGCACGGGGAATTGGGTACTCTTCGACAGTTCCACGGAATTCCATTTCTGGACCCTTGCGTATGGCACCTACCGAACTCGAGAACAAACGCGATGGTTCGTCGTGCTGTTGCACAATCAGGGAAACGACGCTTGTAGGGTTGTCGCCAGGCTGTTCTTCGAGGACAGTCTACCAGTTTGCGGAGTCCAGGTCAGGGAAGCGTTTGAAGAGAGCATTCGATGGGGAGGAATCGCGACAGAGGTCTCAAGAGGCGTTTCACAGGAGGTTGTTGGAAATCCATCTTTCCGCCTCTTCTAGTCTCCTCTAGGCTTGACGACTGTATCAGTAGGTTTGGTGGATGACATAACATTCCGCACTAGGATAGCTAGACCGCATGAGAGCGAATAGCATATCACGCCGAAAGAGGGATATGTTCCTTCTCGCTCATATGTTCAACATCCTCCACTGTCTTCTTCATCTCCTGCTGAAAGCATCAACCGTGTGACCGTCGACTGACGGATATTACGCACCTCACTATCGGGATCAAAGCTTAGGCCAAGCTCGAGGGATTCCTTCGCCTCTTGGTAACGTGCCATGGCGATAAGCGCCTTTGCCTTTCTGAAATGACCCTTGCTCCATGGTCGTTTCAGGCCAATCACAGCATCGGCATCCCATAATCCATACTCTGGCTCGCCGTCTGCCACGTATGCTGCCGAACGGTTGGAGAGGCACATGGCAAGTTCTTCACGCAAAATGACGTGCGCCTCCCATGGAGGACGAGAAGTAGCAATATCAAGTGCTTGAGAATAGTGCCTCGCGGCGATAGCATGCTGGCCTTTTTTGAACATCGTCTAAATCGCGAGATCAGAGCAGATCATCACATTCGTTCGCATATACTCACGTTGCCATCGTCCTTGAACTTGGACATTCTTTGTGTTCTTGCACCTCCGTTGGGAATACCAGGCTGATTAGGGGGAGGCGGCGGCGGCGGCACGCCATCCTTCCCGAACGCGGTCATGAGCTGTTCGGCGAGTTCATTCAACGCGGCAAAGTCCGTGCCGCACTTGTCGCATGTGACCTCTCCATGTTCCTTACAAACAGCTGACATCCGCTCTTCATCCGCAAACTTGAGCGGCACAGAGTGGAAATTGCTGTCCAGCAATGCCTGCATCGCTGGATCGAGCGGGGGTGGAGGTGGTTGGGCCATCACCTGCGCCTGTTGGGATTGTTGTTCCCGCAGACGTTGCTGCATCGCCAGAATTTGAGCACGCTGCTCTGGAGGGAAGCGAGCAAGCATCTGGGGGGTGATATTGCGGACATCGATACGTTGTGGTTGACCGGGTTGACCGGGCCCACCAACTGTGCTGGCCGTTCCCGGTGTCACAGGTGTGCCGGGCGTAGTCGGTGTTGCACTGCCCGGAGTGCTAGGTGTGAAGGGCGTGTTAGGCGTGGGTGGTGCTTGGTGCGTTCGACGAGCCATGTAGGTAGATGGAAGCAAGATGAGTTATGCTTGAGGACAAGATTGTCGAGAGCGATATGGACAAGATTGAAACGCGACGTTCTGGCTGTGTGGGCCCTGAAGGCAGCGACCACGTCGAACAAGACGATGACGGAGACGTTTCAGAATCAGCCGCTTCTCTCGGACAGCAAGATTATCCGAAGAATGCCTTATTATCCGAAGAATGTCCAACGATCGCTGGCTACACTCTTCTCTTCCTTACACCTTGTAACGGAGGACAGTTAGCATGGTTGGGACTTCTGCCGCCGTGGGCGGTCATGTTAACATGATGATGGACGTTCTCATAGCCCAACGTTCGTCCGTGCGTGCCAGCGCATGAACCAAACTCACCTTAATAGCACATTTCTATAGTACCTCCCGAGGATCTACGAGTTGCATGCCGTCGGATGTTGTCCGATCATCCATCGCTTGCCCCAGTGCTTCGCGACATTGTTCACCATAGCCGTCGAGCAAGTCTGGTCACTTTGCCAGAGATAGATGCGTTGTTCCCAGTTTCAAACACGGTCACAGCGGATTTGCTACAATATCTGCAAGACTTTCGACTGGATTTTCTCTCCGGACTCTACCTTCGTGCATTGCAGCGCATGTCGTGGCTTGTGAATGCTCTGGTCACTGCGAGTCATCATGGCACGCACGAACCAAGTGAGGATCTGCGAAAAGTCCTCAAACGAGTCGAAGGCGATATCGTCCAATGCATACAGGCGATTAAGGAAAACTACGCTGATGCAGAAGAACCTCCCGCGACTAGTCTTCAAGATGCTATCCGAGAACTATGGACCAACCTCAGTGCCGTTCCCGAATTATTCGGACTCCAGCGCGCACGCTCTCAGGTCCGGGATGCATTCCTCCTGCTATTCCCTAAAGGTGATATACCCGGACCACATCCATGGAATGTTGAAAAGTGGGAACTCAAAGTGGACGAGATTGGGACGACAATCCCAACCGTATCTTTGGGGCCGATCGACATGCCTCGGCTCTCTATTGGACTTTGGCAGCTGTCAAGCCCAGCATGGGGGATGGCATCTGCTAAGGACATTGAACCATCGTTGCTGGATCTCGTTTCACATGGATTCCGGATGGCCGATATGGCAGATCATTATGGAGATGCAGAAATTGTCTTCGGCCAGTTCCGCCACTCCCTGCCGAAGGAATTGAATAAACAGATGCTTACTTGTACCAAATGGTGTGTTTTTGCAGCACCGCATGGCGCTCCGACCAGTGAGTGGGTGGCAAGCAAAGTCGATGAGAGAAGAACCCGTTGCGGAGGGTATCTGGACGTTTTACAATTTCACTGGCAAAATGTAAGTTCCTCTTTGTACGCGACGCCATCATTCTCTGATAACCGGGATAGTATGCCGACAAACGCTACCTGGAAATCGTACGACATCTCATCGCGTTATCCCGCTCTGCACCACATGTCGTCAAAGCAATTGGCTTAGTTAACTTCGACGCCGAGCGAACTGACGAAATTTGCACTTACCTGAGAGACGTGTGGGAAAAAGATGGCATGGTGATCAGTAATCAGGTTCAGGTGTGTTAAAATCCAGGGCAGTCCAGAAACATACCGGCCTCACCGAATGGCAGTACTCTCTTATCGACCAGCGTCCAAGATTCCGGATGGCGGACGTGTGCTTGAAGCATGGCATCAAGTTGCTGACTTATGGAACTTACGTACGTGTTGCTTGATTGCTGCGGGAGCCAGCGGGATTGAGGTTGTGGATTAGTGTGGCGGCTTCCTATCAGATAAGTGGCTAGGGAAGCCCTCGCCCAACTTATACGAAGATTTCGTTACGCCTTCTCTCCGAAAAGTATGGGATTCCCAGAAAGTCTCATCCAAATGACCCGTTGACAAGGCTTCACAGTACTTTGACATGATTCAGTTGTGGGGAGGATGGGAGCTTTTCCAGGAATTGCTCGTCGTCCTCCGGAAAATTGCTGACGAGCACGGTAACGGATTTGACATTGCCAACATCGCTGCGAAATGGGTTTTGGAAAGAGAAGAAGTTGCGTCAGTCATTGTTGGTGCGTAGCACGAGAGCTAGAAGACGATCTGTACCTGACATTGCCATAGGAACGAGACTAGGCGTGTCATCCAATGCCGAATCCAACCTACGAGTTTTCTCTTTCAGCCTTACCGAGAATGATCATTCTGCCATCAACGCTGTCTCAGTTAAAAGCAACGTTGAACAGTTATTCATACAAATGGGAGATTGTGGTTCAGAATATCGGCACATCAGTCACTAGGCGTTGTATATATCAAACATATACATAGAATTCAAGCTTTCCCCCCGATGACCGGAACCTTTCCGACCGCCTTCAGCTCCCCAAATAACACCTTCACCGCCGTCTTTAAGGCAGGAACTGTAAACTCGAATGTCGCCATATACGACAAATCCTTCATCCCGGAGACTTCAAGCAAGTCGTATGGCGCGCATGTGGCAAGGACCACAATCCGAGGGCTTGCAGTTCCAAGAGCGGCAAACAAGGCGCGAAGTTGGTCAATCTGCCACGTGGCGCGATCTGCGTTTCTGGTGCAGAATATGACGGATGTGCCAGCCGCTAGAGGTAAAATCGTATCCAGCTGCGAGTCAATTGGCTGATCCGGTCCATAGACCATATGCTGTGTATGCGTCTTGCCTTCGAGGTATCCGGCAAAAGAGAGGTATGAGGGACTGGCTGTGTTACGGAGCTTTCCGTTCTTGTCGAGTAGCGCGCCTTCTGGAAGTGGTCCGCTATCGTCCACCGCAAGGTTAATTTTCTGTACCTCAGGCGTGAACAGAACGAGGGGCGCTTTCGGATCCAGGGGAATGAGACCACCGGCATCTCGTATCAAGGCCGCCGACGCAGCATAGGCTTTATCGCTCAGTGCAGCATGGGCACGCTTCATTTCGATCCAAGTCGCTTCTGGTGGAATTCCGAGGACACTATCCCATGAGTTGGAAAACCTGTCTTTCAATGCTTGGATGCGTTTCCCACTTTGGCGAATATCGTCAAGACTCAGTCGTCCGGTGCGCACCGCCTCGTAAGTAGCTTCAATGGCTCCTTTGTGCCGCGCAAACCTATGGCAGATCATTGCGATGTCTGCTCCTGCTTCAAGCGAGCGAACGGCGCCATCTTCCGACCCATATTTATCCGCGACAGCTTCCATCTCCAAGCAGTCAGTGACGATAATGCCTTCGTATCCGAGTTCATCCCGAAGGAGGCCCTTCGTCAACCGCCGGGAGAGCGAGCATGGCGTGTCGTCCCCCGTCACTTTCGGCAATGCCATATGACCCGTCATGATCGTCGCTACACTGTCCTTGATCAGGTCCTTGAAAGGCATGAGCTCGACTTGGTCCAGCGCCTTCATGTCCTTCTCGATAACGGGTAGTGCAAGGTGTGAATCCACATGGGTATCTCCGTGACCCGCAAAATGCTTCGGCGAAGGTGCAATGCCAGCCCGAGTCAAACCGCTCGCCACAGCCCTCGCGAACGCAGAGACCGTAGCCGGGTCGTCGCTGAAGGAACGCACGCCAATGACAGGATTGCGTGGATCAGAGTTGATATCTGCTATGGGACTGTAGGCCCAGTTTATCCCCGCGTAGGCAAGCTCTCGACCCGTCGCATAGGCTACTTCTTCTGCCAGCGCGGGAGAGTCCGTCGCGGCAATCGCCATCGCTCCCGGGCTGTAGATGTCAAGCACTGTTCTCTTGAGCATCAACTAATAGAGGACTGACAATTGAGTTCCAGCCTTCGGCGAGCTGAAAGCAGAAACCAGTCCTTTGTCCCACATGAGTGTCATATACCACCTTCCATATAGTCTGGGAGATCACCATTCTCCTGATCGATACCGATCATCAACGGTCTTTCCTGTCCAGACTCCTTCGCACACGTCTGAAGCTCCCGAACGAGCGCACATACTTGCTGTACGTCACGAACGTTCCGTTTCATCAGGATCACATTCCTGGTCCTGGTCAGCTGCAGCGGGCCGTAGATAAAGAAAGGATGACCCGAGATGGTAGTCTTTGATCAGCGTTTTGATATCCTCACTTGCGCTGTAGCCGTGGAACCCGATAACGAAATGCTACACCGCACGTCCCATGATTCTTCAGCTGTGTCCTGCAGGATTTGTGTGAAGCATACCTGCCCGATCTCGCGCTTTATCTCCTCTGTTAGGTCTACCATCATTTAGCGACCCTACAAGCTGGAATGAAGTAAAACAAGAAGCACGCAGCACATCGATCGACGTGCTTCGATAGGGAACATCCATATGCTACCTCCACCAGTGCCCAACGAGTCACGTGAATGTTTTCCGTCTCCAGCCTTGTTACACCTCACAACTCCAACATCAATTCCAACTCCAAGCCCAACTGCAGCATTACATGAATTCTATCAAAGCATAAACACAGTCAAACAGAGAGTAGACATTGGGGATAAGTAGCAAGTGAGTAATCTACTCCTCCTCCCCTGCCCTATCTTCCTCACTCTCAGGCTCGTCTTCCTCCGCAGGATGTTCCTCTCCCTCCCCACTCCTGCGCCTCCTCTTCCGTTCCCTCTCCGCCCGCTCAATCTTATCCTCCGCGAGCTCCATCTCGTCTTTTCCCTCCTCGTCCTCATACCTCTTCCGTTTCCCTCTCCCTCTCCCTCTACCACGCTCTTCTTCCTCTTCCTCCTCCTCCTCCTCTCCCTCCCCTTCCTCATCCTCATCATCCTTAACAAGAAAATCGTCTTCCTCATAACTGCCCGCCCTCCTCTCCTTCCCAGCGTTCCTCGCACTCTCCTTCCTCCCTCCTCCAACCTCGTCCTCGTCCTCCGCTTCCTCCTCATCGCTCCACATCTCCTTCCTCTTCTTCCGCCTCGGTGTCAGCCCATCCGCCACCCTCTCCCTCGTCCGCCTCTTCGCCGCAGCCTTATTTTCCTCCCTCAGCAGATCTCTCAACACCGCCTCTGGCGCACGCTCCCCATCTTCAGTCATAAGCAGCTTGGCGACCTTACTGTGCTTCTGCCCAATAGCTCTGACAAGATCCCGGTGCGTGCGGCTGTTCAACCCAGTAGGACGGAGGGCCATCGACCCCGTAAGAGAACGGACGGATTGGAGGATCCCAGGAGCTTCCATCTGCACCACGGCGAAAGACGTGTCGCGGGAAGTGGGCGCGTCCTCGGGGTTTTGGGTCACGTCCCAGAATTCGGTGCCGACTTGGAATGAGAGTGTGCCGTCTGACCATCTCACAACGCGGGAATTGGAGACTTTTTTCTGCACTAGGTTAGCCGAGCTCTAACGCACCCGCAGACCCAAAGAAGACACACCATCATCCCGTCCTCCCCTCTGGCCCAGCGCCACCGGAGCGCATTCTTAACCTGATACTGGATAAAATGGCTCATCTCCTGCACCTTCTGCGCCTTCGCTTCGGGCGTAGGAGCAGCCAGGACCTCGGGGTCTGTCATCTCCGGGCCTGTGTAGCTGAGCGGGTCGTATGGTTTCGAGTCGATCGACACGTAGTTCGGGAGATGTAGCATCCAGTACTAGGCGGTATTAGCTCTGTCTTGCACTCTTGCATTCCAGCTCCACTCCACTCCACTCCACTCCAGGGAGCAGGGGGGAGGGGGGAGGGGAAAGACGCACCTTGCCATCACTAGCCTGCAACACCGGCAATCTCGGCGCGTCAACCTCAGCAGTAGTCATCCTCCTCACATCCTCCTCTTCCCCACTCTCCTCCTCATACTCCAGCTCCTTCCGTCTCCTCCTTTCTGGGCTCGTGAGCCCATCGAGGTCTCTCTCGTCTGGCTCGGGGAGGGTCCTGCCTTCTTGGTCATCGATGTCCGGGTATTCTAGCTTCTCCTCATCCCCATCCTCATCACCATCCCCATCACCAAACAAATCATCCTCATCCTCCTCCTCAGGCGCAGGAGCCAAATGAACATCCCTCTCCTCCTTCACCCCCTGCGGCAGTAACCCCCCGAGCATAGCAGGGTCGTCACCCTGTACAGGGTCTATGACTTGCTCGAACTCGTTACGGAGGGGGTCGTGGGCTAGGGAATCGGCGATGGACATCCTTTTGGGATTTGGGATTTTGTGCTTTTGGGTTTTGGGCGTTCGGCGGACGTCGTTGGCCCTTTTGGAGTCTTGCTGCAACAAAAGTCGAGTGGACAGAGTTTACCGCGAAGGAGAACAAGAATGCACCGCCACTCGGACTCGGGCTAACCTTCGGTCCCACATAACTCCGGCAAAGCAAACCTTGGGTATCCCATAACGAATCTACCAAATCGAATCTAACCGTCAGACTATCTACCCTTCGACCCTCTGACCATGTCCTTCCTTCCCCCCCCCCCCCCCCCCCCCCCCCCC